TACATTGTAGCCCGCATGCCCCAGCCACTGCATGTTCCCAAGCTGCTTGTTTAATCTTGATTTTAAGCTTTCGTGACTGCAGGAATCCATACTCTTTGGTTCTTTCAGTAAAGTCACGTAGGTAGAAAAATAAAATATAATATATCACGAAGTTTCGATCGCAACACAAGCGGTCGTCCTCAGGCGGAAAAAATAATCCAGCAGTGGAACTGCTGAACCAGAAAGAACAGAGAGAGAGAGAGCTGTTACAACAAGAGGTTATATATGTGGCCAAGGGCAAGCAGGCGGGGTTTGAGCTGGAAAGGAATTCCATCCCCGCACGCAAGCACGTCAGTTGTGTTAATATTCTGTTTATTACTGCACTATTTTTTGGCCAGATAGAGGGGGCTAAACGGGCACAGCACGGGCTGTAGAAGAGATGGAGTGATGCGGCCCAGGAGGATGTGGTGGAGCTGAGTGGACTTATATATGACCGGTACCAGTGGTGTCAAGATCGGCCTCTGTGGAGAAAGGCTCGTGAAGGACGATGCTGCTACTGGGCAGTTGGATGCAGTCGCCCTCCAGCAACAACGGAGGGCAGAGGAGGAGCGACGCTCACAACAACGGGCGGAGCGCGGGGCGGTGATGACCGACCGGGTCAGAGGTGGTGCATCCGTCAGTCATCTCAGTCAATCCTTAACACCGGGTCTGTCCCGTGACCTCCTTGCCAGCAAGCATTGGTATCTCATGTGGCATCAATGTGCACCTAGCCTTGCACTACGCTATGGTGATGTTACCAACACTTAATGGCGAATGGTTATTATTACTGCACTATACAGACGAATGATGTTACAATTAGTGTGGCATTACGTTTAGAAGGTAAATGTGTAATTTAGGCGAATTATATTTATTTTACAGGTTTAAAGCAATAAAATGGTCTTTGATTTATTTGAATTCTTTACTGCGTGTAGTGCAGTGGCGAAGTGTTTAGCGCAATTGTCCGAGTTGGATTTCCAGCCACGGCTAACATCAAGTGGCAAGTTTTATTGTCAACACCCCACCTGGTTGATTACGTTCCTCCAAAGATTGCAAAATTTGACAGAGAGACAAAACACAGACACACAGACAGACACACAAGCAGAGAGACTCACACAGAGACAAACAGAGAGAGACACACACATAGGCACACAGAAAGACAACGTCTCCGTGTCGAGGCCTTAAATAGAGAGAGGGGGGGCAGAGGGGGGAGTTGTGTGGAATTCCTGCCCATAGCGGCCAGAGGAGAGAATGAACCCATAAACAAGCACGGAACAAGCACGGTAGAAATCAAATTTAGTAGAATTAGAAAGTGTAATGCAATGCAACACAGAGAGTCAGCACACAGTTAACGCATAGCCTGGTTGATTACGTTCTTCCAAAGATTGCTAAATTAGTTAAGTGTGAAACAAACAAGCACGGCAAACCCTCCCCGTAGAGGTGGTTCAAACTAGATTCGAAGCTTTCGTGACTGCAGGAATTATTCTTTGGTTCTTTCGGTAAAGTCACGTAGAAAGAAATGGGAAAGGAATTCCACACAACGCTCCGTACTTGTTTGTTTAGATGTCCACAGCAGTGCCCAGCTCCACACAACTCCCCCTCTGCCCCAACCTCCCTCTGTCTCTCTCTATTGAAGGCCTCGACACAGAGACGTTGTCTTTCTGTATGCCTATGTTGTGTCTCTCTCTCTGTTTGTCTCTGTGTGAGACTCTCTTTGCTTGTGTGTCTGTCTGTGTGTCTGTGTTTTGTCTCTCTCTCACATTTATCAATGTCTGGAGGAACATGATCAACCAGGTGTTGACTTGTGTTGGCCTACTCTCTGTGTTGTATTACATTATATTTCCAAGTTTACTATGTTTGTTTTCTCATTCATTTGTACCTGATGATGGTTGCTTGTGTTGCAATCGAAACGTCGTATTCTATTATTATTTAATAAAATGTCTTTCTATGTGACTTTACCGAAAGAACCAAAGAATAAGTTTTATTGTACTGCAATCAGACACAGTCCTTGCTCCAACCCACGCTGATCTGCGTGGGTTGAAGGTGGGCTCTCACCTCATTCATCAATTATTGTACTCGATAAACCTTTCAGCATTGACTGACACACAAGAGGAACTCAAGTAAATGGCTATTATTATTCCTACACTATTCTTGCGTATGGCAGCAATATATTCACGAGCTAGATGCCAACCAATGTCAAGGTCTGCCTGCCAGGACGAGAGGGCATTAGGAGAGTGTGGTTTTGTTTGACCTCCTACCTTGAAAGAGTACTGACTACAGTGGAACAACCCACCAATGTTCTTGGTTCTTTCGGTAAAGTCACGTTGAAGGGAAACAATAAAATAAGAAAAATATAAAACAATAAAATTCTCACGTTTCGACTGTAACACAAGCAATAATCATCAGGTGTTGCAGTCGACACGTCGTGAGAATTTTATTGTTTTATATTTTTATTATTTTATTGTTTCCCTTCTACGTGACTTTACCGAAATAACCAAGAATATGAATCCCTGCAGTCACGAAAGCTTTAAATCAAAACCCACCAATGGTTTACGTTGCAGGGCCAAAATCGCACGACTTTGGCTCGTCTTCAACCGTCCATTTGTGAAGATGTGCGCATCGGCCTGTTTATGATCCGATGCAGTTAATGGTCACACCGGTGTCTTCGAGGATAAATTAAAAAAGCCAGGAAGTGTTTCCATGTTTGTGTTATTACAATGTACTATCACGCGTGCATGCGCACGGCTAAACAGCCGAGGAGTGGTCCCACTTCTCTTCTAATTCAGGCAACCCGGCACTGGGCGTGCCGGCAATGGGTCTCCTTCACAAGCACGTGGCAGAATGATGAGCGTGCATTGCCCCTGTCGTGTTGTCCAGTGTTGTTGTTGGTGGTGCGACGCCACTGTCCCACGCAGCAGCAGCAGCAAGCAGCGGCAAGCAACAGCTGCATCAGCAACAATAACAACATCTGCAGCAGCTGCAGCATCTACAACACCTGCAGCAGCGTCAGCAGCTGCAATTGCAGCTGCAACAACAGCATCTCCACCAGCTTCAACAACAGCATCTGCACCAGCTGCAACAACAACATCTGCATCAGCTTCAACAACAGCATCTCCACCAGCTTCAACAACAGCATCTCCACCAGCTGCAACAACATCTGCACCAGCTTCAACAACAACATCTCCACCAGCTGCAACAACAACATCTGCACCAGCTTCAACAACAGCATCTCCACCAGCTTCAACAACATCTCCACCAGCTGCAACAACAGTATCTGCACCAGCTTCAACAACAACATCTGCACCAGCTTCAACAACAGCATCTGCACCAGCTTCAACAACAGCATCTCCACCAGCTTCAACAACAGCATCTGCACCAGCTGCAACAACAACATCTGCACCAGCTTCAACAACAGCATCTCTACCAGCTGCAACAACAGCATCTCCACCAGCTTCAACAACAGCATCTGCACCAGCTGCAACAACATCTGCACCAGCTTCAACAACAGCATCTCCACCAGCTTCAACAACAGTATCTGCACCAGCTTCAACAACAACATCTGCACCAGCTTCAACAACAACATCTACACCAGCTGCAACAACATCTGCACCAGCTTCAACAACAGCATCTCCACCAGCTGCAACAACAGCATCTCCACCAGCTTTAACAACAGCATCTGCACCAACTTAAACAACAGCATCTGCACCAGCTGCAACAACAGCATCTCCACCAGCTTAAACAACAGCATCTCCACCAGCTTAAACAACAGCATCTGCACCAGCTGCAACAACAGCATCTGCACCAGCTTCAACAACAGCATCTGCACCAGCTTCAACAACAGCATCTCCACCAGCTTCAACAACAGCATCTGCACCAGCTGCAACAACAGCATCTGCACCAGCTGCAACAACAACAGCATCTGCACCAGCTGCAACAAGAACATCTACACCAGCTGCAACAACAGCATCTCCACCAGCTTCAACAACAACATCTCCACCAGCTGCAACAACAACATCTGCAACAACTTCAACAACAACATCTCCACCAGCTGCAACAACAGCATCTCCACCAGCTTCAACAACAGCATCTGCACCAGCTGCAACAACAGCAGCATCTGCACCAGCTGCAACAAGAACATCTACACCAGCTGCAACAACAGCATCTCCACCAGCTGCAACAACAGCATCTCCACCAGCTTCAACAACAGCATCTGCACCAGCTGCAACAACAGCATCTGCACCAGCTTCAACAACAGCATCTCCACCAGCTTCAACAACAGTATCTCCACCAGCTGCAACAACAGCATCTCCGCCAGCTTCAACAACAGCATCTCCACCAGCTACAACAACAACAGCATCTGCACCAGCTTAAACAACAGCATCTGCAGCAGCTGCAACAACAGCATCTGCACCAGCTTCAACAACAGCATCTGCAGCAGCTGCAACAACAGCATCTCCACCAGCTGCAACAACAGCAGTCAGTCTTCGATCCGTTACAAATTCAAAGAAGCGAGTCGTGACGCAACGCAGTAGCGCGCCTGCGATTGGCTGGTTTCCACTCCGCGCGTGCTCTGATTGGCTGCTTCACCACCACCACCCTCCCCCCCTCCCAACCCTCGCACGAACCGCTGAGGGAGGAAGCCCGCAGGTGGCCGCCTTGGAGAGACCGAGAAGTTGGTGGGGCTGGTTGTTGTGGTTGTCGTAATAATAGTTAGTGGTGGTTGTCTCATGAACGAGCCGAACAAGACCAGTCTCACGACTCGCCCCCCGATAAGTGGTATGTTTGTTAATTGTCGCGGCTTGTCTCTCCAACACACCGGTGTGACGAATCGGCCACGTTCTGTTTACGTGACGACCCCCTTAACTAGTCGGCTGTGTCGGGTGGTGGCGGGTTTTACGCGATCTAACCCAAAAACCTCTATTAAGGATGCTATTGGTCGCGAAAGCCTACGTGTTAAACTTGTAGTTTTAGTTGTTCGGTGAGGAAGCGAGGCTGGAGGCCTTGTCTCTCTCTGTCTCTCACGCCGCTCAACTCCCTCACTCGCGACCGTGAGGAGAAGTCCCTCTGCTTTGTGGTCATTTGTAAGCCTCGCGGTTCCCCATTCATTCAGTGTCGTTAGACCGCGTTTAGTAATTACCTTCAGCTCATTGGCAGCACAACTGCTGGAATGGGAGGCCTCGCTTCTCACGCCGTTGTCGGTCGCGGTCGGTGATGAGAGTGGTCGTGGTCGTCGTGTGATTTGACCATACTTCACCATTAACTGTAAGTGCGAGTTGGCGAAACGGGCGAGGCACTCGCAGAACCGGTTGCGGATGTCGCTGGCCACTGATGGCAGCCGTGCACGGGAATCCCGATCTGTACGTGCCGTACAGTACGGTGTGCAGTGTATGCGGTACGGTACCTCGATTATTACCGTGTGCGTTTGTAGTGGTTGAACTTTCCTACACTCGCGCAAGTTAACCCAGCACACCTGTGCCTACTCCACTGCACATTGTTGTAAAATAACGGTGTGTAAGGTATTTATGAACTGCATTGATGACGGAATCGAGATGTTTCATTCAATCTGTGGGCTGGATTGTGGCACGTGTTGCACTAGAGCAGCGTTGTTGGTTCTCCACCTCGTTTGTGCGGCGACTTAATTTGAATTTTGTTTCACACTGAGTACCGCCCGTTGCCGGGCCCAACGTGGTTCTGAGAAATTAAAGGGACGAATACTGAACGTCAATATGGTTGTGAGGTTATCCTAACTTAGGAAAGTTAACTGCAAGGGAATAAAAAAAAAACATAAAACCATCACCGGGACGCGTGGCGGACCTGGTTCGCGCTCGCCTGGTGACGCTTGGAGATCCACATTGTTGGAGGTCGGTGTGCTTAGAAAGGTCTTTCATATCTCGATTTAAAGCTTTCGTGACTGCAGGGATTCATATTCTTGGTGCTTTCGGTAAAGTCACCACGTAGAAGGTTAGTAATAAAATAATTTCTATTTTTTATTAATATTAATAAAAACAAATTTTTATTCCCTTCTACGTGACTTTACCGAAAGAACCAATAATGTGTCTTTCATATCGTTCTAGGTTACCGTATGGATTAACATTTTTTTTAACCGTAGTTTTATATTGACAGATTCCGAAATGATTATTCGCCAATGACTCTCGTGTATGTCACTAAATTTATAAACCACCACACATCACGATACGGTATGACAACATTGCACAATGTAAACAACATGGGTTGGTCTTGTTAACCGTAGCACTTGCGTATGTACAGTTTGAATGTTACGGAATGAAATGTCTTTAAAAATAACAATTACGAGATGCTCATTGAAGACCTCCCCATGCAGTGTTGGTCATATTACCGGGTTCATAGTGCAGAAAGCCAATCACTGCCACAGATGGAGCCGTAATTTTCCTACCTTCACGTGATAAAAAAAATTGCCTGGAATGTTAATTATAGGTAGAGCATGCAGTGAAGGTACCAGGGGCTAGCTCATAGGCTTATCTTCCTATCAGCACTGTGTTAATCATCATATCCGCAGGCTGATTGATTTTAATGACTCATTAACCGACGGTTGTGTTGTAAAAACAGAAGCAAAAGAGTAAAATTGTAGTTCAAGAGCAACGTAGTTACTACGTGCAAGGAAAGTTTAAATTTAATTTCAGCTCAATTTCACGAAAATGCCATCAGCTCCGACTGCATCGCTTGTTTTAGGTTTATATGATGTTTCAAACAGTTTTTATTTAACTTTCGTGACTGCAATAATTCATTGGTTCTTTTGGTAAAGTCACGTAGAAACAAATAAATAAAAGTAAATAAAATAAAACTACGACGTTTTGATTGCAACACAAGCAATCATCATCAGGAGAAACACAAAATGTAGTTTTTATTTTATTTTATTTACTTTTATTTTTTCTATCTACGTGACTTTACCGAAAGAACCAAAGAATACGTGCAAAACAGTGTTTATCATTGTGTAGTGGAATAGTGCTGGCAGCTGGCGATAGAAGGATCTCCGATGTACGGCAGTATTGAGGTCAGCAGGCCATGATAGGCACGATATGGGGACGTCTCGGGGAAAGGTCACGGAGGGGGGGGGGGCCCATCGGGAAGCCTCGGGAACAACCCGCTAGTAGGTTCCAGAGAGGAGGCGTGGCCGGGGCGGAGCGAGGCCACGCTGAGAGTATAAGAAGGACCCTGTGAGGGACCTCCTCAAGGGCTATTGTTGGAGTGGGTTCGCCGTCGTGCTGTTCAAGATCGTCGCTGTCGCCTCGTCGCCATCGTCGCTGTCTAAACTCGATATTGTGCTGCCCAGATCAGGGGTGGGCACATTTTTTGACTCGCGGGCCACAATGGGTTCTAAAATTTGACAGAGGGGCCGGGCCAGGAACAGATGGATGGAGTGTTTGTGTGAACTAATATAAATGACGTGTAAAAATCATTGCATGAAAGGATTTGGCCTTTAACAGGTAGCAAAGCATTTATTTGCAAAGCAATTTAACAAATTGCACGAACATGAACAATACAAAAACATGTCGTAACGTGACTGATCAAACATCATGAAAACAGCGCCGTCTAATGGGGAAATGGGGCATTACAGGAGAAAGGTAAAATTTAATTTAATAATAATATTTGGACAAGTTCGGCGGGCCGGATTAAAAGCCCAACCGGGCCGTATACGGCCCGGGGGCCGTACTTTGCCCATGTCTGTGCTAGATAGTTGTTGGCTGTCTCGGTTCAGCGCCGTCAGTGTTAAGACGGTTAGTGTTGCGTATAGGCTAGCAACAGTAATAGTGTGTACCCACGTAGGGTAGTGTATAGGCGAGCGACTAGAGCGTGTACCCTCGTAGGGTAGTGTAGTATACTGATGGTGTTCTCTCTCTGTGTTGTCTCTCTCTGCTTGTGTGTCTGTCTTTGTGGCTCCGTGTCTGTGTTTCTCTCAAAATTTCACACTTAACTTCTAATTTAACAATCTTTGGAAGAACGTAATCAACCAGGCTATGCGTTAATTGTGTGTTGACCGACTGTCTGTGTTGCATTGCATTACATTTCCATATTTTGCTAAGTTTGTTTGGTTAAGTGTGTTTTCTCTCTCTCTGTGTCCTCGTGTTGTAGTATTGCCTGCAGTCACGAAAGCTCCAAATCTCTCATTGACATGCTAATTTCTCTACCCCCCTCTCTCTCTGTCCCCCTCTCTCTCTATTTAAGGCCTCGACATAGAGGCATTGTTTCTCTGTGTGCCTATGTGTGTCTCTCTCTGTGTGTCTTTGTTATCTCTCGCTGCTTATGTGTCTGTCTTTGTATCTCCGTGTCTGTGTTTTGTCTCTCTCAAATTTAGCATTCTTTGGAAGAACGTAATAAACCAGGTAGGGTGATGACTGTTATGTTAGCCGACTCTCTGTGTTGCATTGCATTATATTTCTAAGTTTACTAGGTTTGTTTTCTCTTTAATTAATATCTGATGATGATTGCTCGTGTTGCAATCGAAACGTCATATGCTATTATTTAAAAAAAAAAATTTCTACGTGACTTTACCGAAAGAACCAAAGAGTAAATAAAAGAAGTGCATCCAAGCCTTATCGTCTCCGAGTTAGTCACTACAATAATATGTACACTACCAAGGATCCGTCTCAAGCTAAAAACTGGCCGCTGCCATATCAATGTCCAGTTTCCACCATTGATGTAGGGCCACCATTGGATACAATTGCTACCCTGTGTTCGCTTTACCAGGAAGATGCTGACTTGTCTACTAATGTATAAGTAACTTTAGTACAGATGCATATGACATGTATACGGCGTTGCGAAAGAGGCACGATGCGAAGACCGAATAAATATTGCCTAAGGCGACATCATCATTTGAAAAATACCCTTATATTTTAATTGTAAATTTTTTTTAAGAAGGATCTTTACATTTGGAGTGTAATATACAGATTTGATTCTGGGATTATTGTAAACCACATAAATTATGTTACGTTATAATGGCAGTATGGAGCTAAAGTCCATTTATTTTGTAATATGTACAATGTGCAGTTTGGCATCGCTGTATATTAAATAATGCCAATTTAAATTAAAGTTTTTATTTTACAGGATTGAGAATCCAAGATCAAATTATTTTTTAATCGCCATTAGAAGATATGCCAACAATTAAATTATGACAGAGACCAGCAGACAACGTGGCCTCGTTCGAGATAATCAGAACAAGGCTTGCTGGAAAAGCTTCAGTTACAGACAGATGCATGGAGGTGAATACAAAGAAGACCTGCTCAGTAGTAAGGATGTCCGCCACCAGCCTGCCAAACCTCCGGTACGCCAGCACATCCACTCTCTCATCAACACATTGCTGTAATTCAGTTCCCATGTGTTTTCGTTTGTCACCGTTCTACCCTGCCAACATATGCAGCGCCGCTTGTTTTTTTGGAAGTCTAGCATGACATTATTCGGTGATCGTACTCCCCAATGCATAGTGTATTAACGTAGATAATGCACAGAAGTATATGTAGCACTCATCTGTTATTGTAGGATTTAATATCACTGTTCTTTGGAAAGCAAGTAAAGTTGTTTGCATATTTTTGTCTGAGCACTCTGATCTTGATGGGCTTGTGACGATTTAGGGCAAGAAGATTGTGCTGACGAGCTGGATTGTTCAGCCGCTGGATGATTTCTCTGCAGTTTGCCTTGTAGGCCGTCGGCTGTAAGTACTGACTATCCATCATCACTTTATTGTGCTGCTGTTGCTATGGTTTCTTATTCATGTCTTATGTTTTAAAATGTTTTTTGGATTTTGTTTTACGAGGGCTTACAATAAGGTATTCTTTGGTTCTTTCGGTAAAGTCGTGTAGATATAAAAAAAATATATTAAAAATTCTAAAAATAAAGATAAAAAAACCACGACGTTTTGATTGCAACACAAGCAGTCGTCATCAGGAAAAAAAGGGGTTAGCCTCTCAAGGCAAGCTGTTTTTAAAGGTTTTAAATGGGCGTAGTCTCAGTGTTAAAAAATCGTGACCCAGCAGGCAGTGAGGGTGGTGCTGCCAGGTAATTACAAACTCACACTGGTGGCGGTGGAGGTTGCTGCTAGAGGTGATGGTAGTAGTGGATCGTGATAGTGCTGGCGGTGGGCTTCCACCAATAAAGGGCTACTGCTAGTGGTGATGGCAGTAGTGGGCAGTGATGGTCCTGGTAGTGGACTTTCACCAATTAAAGGGCTGCCAAGTCTAAAATAGAAACATTACAGCCAGTTATGACTAAAACTGGTTAATAACGTCCTTCCAGCGATTGCCGAGTTTGTACCCATCCTCTCTGTTGAAATTGTGTCTGTCTATATACATGGATGGCTTCATGAACGAATTTTTGTTGATAGCCAGTGGGCTTGCAAAGTACCTTCGTCTTCGAGAAATACATTTCGCATTAAGACAATGATCAGCCACGGCCGAGGTATTGGTCCTACCGTGTTTCACATCTGCCTTATGTTCACGAACACGGTTCGAGACGTGTCGCTTAGTTTCCCCAATGTAACTACTGCCGCAGACACAGCTTAGTTTGTAGACGCCGGGATATTGCATGTCAGGGATTTTGTCCTTCACAGATGGGATCAGATCACGAATTTTATGTACTGTGTTAAATCGGACCTGGATCTTGTGTTTGTTCATAATTTTGGAAATCTTTTTGGTTACCCCTGCTATGTATGGTAAGGTGATGGTTTTGATTGGATCATCAGATGGCTCCTTCCTCATGGTTGGGGTGATGGCTTTACGTATTGTGTTGTCAGAATATCCATTCGCCTTGAGAGCCTGGTGTACGTGTCCGAGTTCACTGGTCAGGTGTTTGTGGTCGGAGATACATTGAGATCTATGAGTTTTGATGAGGGAATTCTTCTGGGTTGGATGGTGGTGGGAATCAGGTTTTAGGTAGGCATCAGTCTGGGTTGCTTTTCTGTAGACAGAATGGCTCATTGAGCCATCTGGTCTCTTTTTGATTAGGACATCCATAAAGGTGTAGAGGTGTTAACTACGCGCTGTTGCGTAACCTGCGTTGCCACCAGGGCAGTGCAGCATTACCCCTGGGTACAACGGTTGGGGTCAGTCGAGGTGAAACGGATCGTGGCCAGGGTTTGGTGCGAACCAATCAGACGGTTCCACGTGGGAATGTGTGATTGGTTCTACCTGGCCACGAAGGGGTATAAGACGGGTGACCCAACGGACCTGGAGGAGTTCTCTCCCGGCACGAAGACAGAAGACTGGGCTGAAGCCTAGCTAGGACCCTGGACCAGCCTTTCAGCCCTTCTAAGGGCTAAGGCTCGGCATACCCAGTGGTCAGGACCCACCGGGCCAGCGGTGGGTCAGATAGCCTCCCCTAGGTCCTAGCCGGAGGACTAGGATAGCGGTAGACGTGTGAGTCCCGCCAAGTCCGGAGGTTGTACCTCCTTAGGTATCAAGGAGGTTAGCGGTAGACGTGTGAGTCCCGCCAAGTCTGGAGGCTGTACCTCCCTAGGGTATCGGGTGAGGGGACCGAATATCCCTCTGTGTGTGTTAAGCGATGTATAAGGAAGTAATACAATAAACAGAGTGTGCCTCCTAAAAGAAGTCTGCTCGTCCTTACAACACTACAAAGGGTTAGCTTGCCATCCTTTTCTACCTCCATGGTGAATTTGATGGCTGGGTGTATGGAATTGATGTGGTTGAGGAATTGGTTTAGAGCTGGTTGGCCATGTGGCCAGATGATAAACGTGTCATCTATGTACCTCTTCCACAAGGATGGGCGTAGATTGGATGCCTGGCTGGCGTCCATCTCAAATTTTTCCATGAAAACATTGGCTACAACTGGAGATAAGGGAGAACTCATTGGGGTGCCTTCAGTTTGTTTGTAGAAGGTTCCATTCCAGGTTCCAGGTGAAGTATGTGTTGGTGAAGCAGTGTCTCACCAGGGCCAGAACATCCACTGGCGGAGCCAGTGGGGGGGGGGGGGGAGGGGGTGGCACGTGCCCCCTCAATGAGCTGATCGAAATTAGGGATTTCGATCGGAATAATTGGAATTTATTAGTAATACATCGGAATTTTGCGACCCCCACTGCCATTGTGTAGCATATTATTATGTGCCAGGGACTCTATGAGATGATAGGACAATAGTCCGAGTCCATAATTGGCAATAAGTGATGGCAAAGCAGTTATAAGTGACTCAGAATTGTGCGCAGTTGCGTATACAGTACACGGCTTCCCTGAAGGCATCAACACCTTCAGCGAGCGCGATGTCGATCACACAACGCGGTTCGAATTCGACCCTCGATCGATGGCTGCGCCATCGCCGCACACGCGTCGAATAAAAAGCGAGGGACAAGTCCTTACTTATTACTAACAACTATAATTTTTCATTGCTGGAGGGGTTGCCCCCCCCTACCAGAAAATCCTGTCTCCGCCATTGGGTACATCAGCATTCAATCCTTGAGAGGCTAACCAACTTTTCCTGATGACGACCGCTTGTGTTGCAATCGAAACGTCGTGGTGTTTTTTTATTTTCTTTTTATGATTTTTTAATTGTATTTTTTCTATCTACGTGACTTTACTGAAAGAACCAAAGAATATGAATTCCTGCAGTCACGAAAGTTTTAAGTAAAATTTTTACAACAAGGTGTCATGGCATTTTACTCTAGTCCATATAACTAAAGATCATGTAAATTGTCAAACCGCTGCTAGATGAGGAGCACCTCATTCCATATGGGTCATTGTGGTTATTTTCTGTTTCTTCGTGCTGGGCAATGCTGGTTGTTGAAACAGGGGAGAACAGACATGGTCACGTGGAAGTAAAATGGAACAACAGTGGATTTTGCTGCACTGCCCTCTACTGCCCACAATCTACCATTCTCAAGTTTTTGTCGCATTTTCACTTATTTCCCCGTGTTTTTCAGGTCCCCTGCCCTGTCCTTTTCCACTCCCTCTCACCATGTGTGCACGGTTCTCCTTGCTTCCTCCCTCTGTCATCATCGCTCGTTTTTTCCCTCCACATTACCTTGGGTCTGACTTTTCTTATTACCGCCCCCTGCCTGCTCACTTGGGCTCTACTCATCTCCAGGTTCCATTATTTACACCATGCCTATACTTAGCGCTGAATATTTAGTTCACGGAGACTCGTTATATATGTAAAAATCGTGCATACGTCATCTTCCACAAACATATACACGTTTGATTTGATACGTTTATTTTGCTTGAATGCTTTGAAGCTTGTGTTGTTGTGTGTTCCCACAGCTCTGCCTCGCAGAATGAGGAGTATTGGCACAGTAGTGCCATAGTGAAACGGATATCGGCCCAACGATTTGAGACTGCTTCAGGTTCCATTTACGTACTTGAAGGCTGCATCAATGCCCAAGATGCACGAATGGAAGGTATTTGAACTGGAAACTTGACTTAAATACTGGGCCAGGCCGTTTCCCCCGATTACGTGGTTTAAATATAATTGCTAGGCTCATTAGGTCAAAATCAGAATCTTTATTTATCCGGGAGGAATCCTATGAGCTATGAACCTCTGATTAGCGCGGCTGGCTACGTACAGTGCGAAAAAGGTCAACATACTTACATGCAAGCATCTATTTCACAGATGTCCAGATGCAATGTATCATCAAGTTATTCCATGTCATACTCAACAAATGGGTTCCGTTTTGCAAATATGGCGATGTTCATAATAGTCACCTTCATTTTTTGCATTGTATCAAGTATAATAATATTTCTGGTTGTTTTTCACTTCGTAAAAAAACAAGAAATAAAAAAAATCACGTATGTTCATGGATTCTCTAACACTCTCCAACATGCGTTTGTCCTCGGGATGGTTTCATTTGGTAAAAATAATGTTCCATTCCAAGCCACGTAGTAAGATTATGTCACGTGTTATGAGGCTATCGTGTGATATAACACACAACAATGTTATTGCTTTTGCCGGACAGGTACATTCATTTATTGCTTGTTTTTGTGCCATATTTTGGGCAAGCCTTTGGTAAATTTAGCCAATTTTATATCAGGTGAGTTTTCAATAACAAGTCAACTATATCATATATATTTACATATTGGATAATTTTTTAAAGAGTTGCATAGGCTCCCATTTTACAGAGACATAACGCATTAACGACTTCATCCTAAGTTAGAAAATGATAAAAATATATATAATCTTGATTTGAAGCTTTCGTGACTGCAGGAATCCATACTCTTTGGATCTTTCGGTAAAGTCACGTAGGTAGAATAAATAATAGATAACGACGTTTTGATCGCCACGCATCGTCTTCAAGACGATTGCTTGTGACCGCCAAGCATTGTCTTCAAGACGTCATGATCTATTATCTTTTCTACCTACGTGACTTTACCGAAAGAACAAAAGAGTATGTATATATAATGGTAGGGTAAATTTGCTGATAATCATTTCACCATCAAGTTTTTCAGAAATACATGAGGCAGTTTGCGCCATGGGAGATGAGGATATATTTCACACTCACAGGAGCTCATCAGCATGATTTATTCAATGACGAACAACTATATATGCCCAGATTGTTTTAGATGAGAAAGTAGCAATATGCTGAGACTCTTCAAAGTTGTAGCAACATAATTGTTATTTTTTTGTAATATGCCAAAACTTTGCTATTACAAATAACACAATTGTCGTGGCTAGTGCAAGTGCTCAAGAGTACTATTGCACCTTGTGTGATAAATATTTTCAGCAGAATAAACATTACTATTTGTCATTTTATGCAATCTTGATTGTGGTGTTTAAAAACACCGGTACATTTTCTACGCAATCTGCACGAAACAAGTTTAATCCTGTTCGTCATACCTTTTCTTGTTTTATCCACAGCTGGCTTTTCCTGGAATATGATAAAAACATTTAAACATGGATTTCCTGAAGACTGGAAACAATTCATTGATAAATACCTCGCTGTTCAGTAAGTTTTGCGTAGCGCGCATTATACGTTTTTTGGAGTCCGGAAATTGTAAATGTGTTGTCGTAATGCTGATTTAGTTGGTCGCATAAACATAAGAAGTCTGTAAGAGCGTTCTATAAGGCCATCAGAAGTTTACCATGAGATGTACTTATTGAGGAGAATACATGATACATTTAGTGCATGATGTCACCCAAATGGGGACTGGTAATGGGAAAACTTTGACTTTAAAATAATAACAACTGTAACATGTGAATTGTGCAAGTCTCATAATATTTTCTTTATTCCTTGTTAAATAATTGTATAAAATTTTAATTTTTAAGTTAGAGAAGCATTGCTTTCCCATATTTATTATTGGTCTGCTTCACCTTGATGAGACACAGGAAGCACTTGTATTTGCATCTGAATTATTGGGCAGCACATTGCCTATATTTCACAAAACATCAGTGTGACTGGAGTGCCTTATAATGGGATTGCCTATTTCACACTTTTAGAAAATTGTATATAATGGACTCCAATTTTACAGGAAAGAGAGGTGGAATAACAGCACCGGTGAATCCACATTGCTCCATGATGAGCAGATGGATTACCTCACATCTTCTGCAATGAATGAGCTACCCTCTCAAGTGGCAGAGAGGACGAGTGACACCGTGATGAAAGGAATTGAACGTGACATACGTCTCGTCACTCCGTGTACCATTCACCTCCATACTCTCCAGCCCAAGCAACTTGGTGAGGGCACCATTACTAAACATGTTTTATCTATGGGACCCTTTTCAGGGTTTACAAAAAACCTACTGCAAATATCTAAAACTATGCATTTTAGTCTTATGCACCATGCCAGTATTCTGTTGAATTCTGGTTGTTGCTAGGCTTTGACATGGGTAGCTTTGTTTCTTGTAGCCAAAATAATGCTAAATATTTAATGGAAGGCATTGAAAACATGGACAAATAATCCGTTTAAAGCAATTTGAAATGAAGTGTGATAAAACTGGAATTGAAATGGAAAAATACATTATGGACAGTGTTCAATATCTCTTCCAACTTAACATTGTTAACACCTAAATGATCTACACTGAATTTTGAAACCCAGTCCAGAAATGGTTTTGAACCAATGTCGCTGAAATTTGGCTCTCCAATAAAACCGAGTGGCTAATGTGGTTACAGTAATACCCCTATATGCAATTGGTGCATTCGTGTATCAAAACAAATATTGAATAACTTATAACATTAGTACTATGAGGATGCATTCCCAGCCTTTGTAACTTATCGTTTCCCATTATAACGACTTCATAACTTTAATGTTTTATAATTTACAAGTGATTATATATACGTATGTATTAATATTGTTTAAAAAACAAGTCATCTTTGTGATCCTGCTGATAAACATTCTTGGTGACGTAAGAAGTAACTTTATTCGTACTTCATACTGACTACAACTCCAGTTCTTTTTATAATCCTGAAACGATAATAGGTCATGCCTATCATTTCCTTTAAATTTACTGAAATAGATGGCGTTGAATTTTTTTGTTGCATCAGCTGGTTTAAAGTGGCATACGTGGGTTTTCCTCCAGGTGAACGACAAGACAGGCGAAGCAACACGGAAAATAATTCCTCTACCCGAACAAAACGCAAGAAAGACCCGTTGGAGAAGCCTCTCTGCTCCCAAGAACCGAGTGCTAAGTCTGTACTGGAGTCCCACAAGTGCAGCATCAATGACAAGAAACTGAAACATTCTTTTGTCGTGCTTGATAACATTTGTGTTAAATCTCTGACCATGGATCCTTTGCAAGAGTCCCCCCCGTGCCTCAATATGAGCCGAGGATCTCAGGAAGATAAACTAAGTGCTCTTATGGGTGTGCAAACAAGAGGAGACACCGAGGAGAACCCAGTGAAACCTGGCAAATTTGCCAATAAGGAAAAGACGTTGACTTCTGAGAGCTCTGTTAGCAAACAAAGAAAAAACTTGAAACAAAAACGTGGAAAAGGAAATTATCATGCCACATCCATCATGAGAAGACATGCAAGCATGGAAAGTTTCAACAAAGAGAATGCAGACAAGGTTTGGCTAGAAAGAAAAGGATTGAAGAAGGCAAAGTTACTAAAAAAGCACGTGTCCTCCAGTGCAAGTGACATAAGCGAACCAGTCACCCATTCAAAGGACGACCATGCACACAGAAGCTATAGGGATAAACCTGCCTCCAAGACCCACAAGTTTAAGACACAGAAGAAAGGCTTTAATGAGACTAAATCCAAAACCCGAGGTATTTCCAGGAAAATAAAGTCATCATCTAACCACCGCAAGAGAGAATCCACTGTTGAATGGAGCAAAGAGGAGTTGGCAAGGTTGTACAGGTATGTCTGCGTGAATAATGCTCACAATAGAATACGACGTTTCGATTGCAACACAAGCAACCATCATCAGGTACAAATGAATGAGAAAACAAATATTGGTACCTGATGATGGTTGCTTGTGTTGCAATCGAAACGTCGTATTCTATTATTATTTAATTTAATTTCTCTCTACGTGACTTTACTGAAAGAACCAAAGAGTAATTCCCGCAGTCACGAAAGCTTTGAATCTAGTTTGATGCTCACAATAAATAACGTACAGTGGAACGTCGCATATCTAACGTCACATATCCGTCCTGACCAATCAACCACCCACACCCATTGCAGTGTTTGTGCACTGAGCAGCTGTCATTTCCTATGAACGTTTCAATATCTGCCTATACCTCAGTCAGCCAATGAGTCATACGTGCCACATTGAACTGTGTTGTACCCTTATAAAATTGACAAATGGACATTGTTATTGAACGAATGCACTTAATATTTTTTTGTATGTGCGACATGACTCGATTGACCAAAACTCAGAACTCTGTGCTTTTCACTTGGTCCATTTTGCACATTTGGTGCTGTTTGCCTTAAGGTCACCTTGTTTCCTTTTATGTTTTTGGACCGCATAGAACAAGTCATTTTAATCCAACACGAAGGTATTAGGCCACCCGATTTGTTGTTTGTTCTTTGGGTCATTTCGGTAAAGGCACGTAGATGCCAAAAGACCCAAAGAGAATATTAATTCCTGCATTCATGAAAGCTTTAAGTAAAGATTGTTGTATAAAGCTTGAATACCAAGGCGGGCAATAAAGACTCACTGTGGTGCAAGGTCTATCTGTGATAGAGATAACAAAAGCTGCACATTCCCAGTGACATCACCTGCTTTTGGGTGATATTACCTTTAGTTGTTCTTTAACAAGGGGGGTACACCCTTCGCGGTTTCTGATGTGCGACACTTGTGATGAGTTGTGGATTTACCCAAAACATTTTCAAGAAGCATTTGGAGGTTTACTGAATTTTTTGGTGTTGTTTTTTTTGTCATAAAATGCAAATGGGAGTCCTGCAGATAATATAATCGCAAATATGCTGATCCTTGCAGATCACAAGGTTCGGCATTTTCTCTCTCATGAGAAAGTGATGACTTACAATGCAATGTTGACTTTTTTTCCTGTCAGCAGTGTTGAATAAAATTGTGCATTTTGTATATTGGCGTAAGTTAATAAAGCAACATAATATTAACACGTAGTTGAACTTATTCGCAATGATTGTAACATCACACAAGCCTGTTTAACAATGTGTTTGCCAGCGTTGTGGACAGTTTCCCAAAGAAAAAGTCGATCTTGTGGAATCAAGTGTCCGATGCGGTGGGCTGCCGTACAGCAGATGACTGCAAGAAACGTTACAAAATGGGTTCCAAGCTCCTACCGATTTCCCGATTTACATCAGAGCCAACCAAGGTTTCTGGCAAACCTCAAGAAAAAGGTACAGTTTTGTATGTGGTTCAGGTGGCCCCTTGTGGGCCCCATAACTGTGGTAATTTGGTGATCTTTTTTAAAATCATAGTCTTAATCTTACTCATTGGTTTTTTCGGCAAAGTCACGTATGTAGAAATACAATAAAATTACCGAAAAAACCAATGAGTAATTTTATGCAGTCACGAAAGCTTTAATACTTTATTAGTCTTAATCTTGTCAATGAAAAGCTTGTGGTGCATTAGTACAGTCTGAGTGGATTTCATGTAGTCATTCTCTGGGTTTAGTTTACTGAAGCAGTCAAAGATATAGTCCACCCTAAGATATTCAATGATTGTTTAGTCAGGGTCTTTGTCATTAACCAAATATTTTGTAAACATTTGCCTGGAGATTTTAAAGTGTATTGCCTGCATTACAGAGTTCAGGTATTATTGTGTTGTTTGTAAATGTTTTATGTATGTTTGTTGAATTTCTTTCGCACCACTATACGTAACCAACCATGCTAATCCTAGGCGTGAAATTAACGTTCAGGAAAAACCTCACTCAACGCGGTTTTATGGAACGCAAGTTTCAGCTTTACACATTTGTAATGACAGGGTGACACCTGCTGGCCTGGAAGGGGAATCATGGGTACGGGCACAGTTAAGTAACAACTAATCAGAGAGGGAGGTGTATCTAGGATTCTAGGGCAAAGGTATAAGGTGAGGCTAGCTGAGATACTCCGGGAACCTGCTCGAAGGTTCCACGAGAGGGCGGCGTGGCCGGAGGCGGGGCTTAGCCACGCCTGGGGGGCTATAAGGGGGAGCGGATCCAGGGCTCGGGGCTCGTGTGTGGGGTCTTGGGTCCTGGCTGCGTCGCTGCTCGCCGACATCTCTCTCCGTCGTCCGGCCACGTGGAAGATCTCCTGCGTAGTTCCATCGCCGTCATCGTAACGCCACCAGCCAGCGGCGTAGCCAAGTGGAGGCGATGGAACCTCGCCGAGTGATCGGCTGTGTGTAGCCAGTAGAGACGTTACTACCTAGTGTGGTACTCAGTGTGGGAAAGGATAAGTGTTGGCCTGTGTTGTGCCCAGTGTGAGTAATAAAGAAGAAGTACCCTCTACACGACGTGTCGTTAAAGTCGCTCATTACACATTTACTTGACGAGGTCTGTTTTCTGGAACACGGGGGTGATGTTTTGGCTATACACGGTTTGACACTGCTAAGATTCTCATCTCTGCATCAAAAGTAGAGCACAATCCGCTTGTACTGTATACGCTGCGGATAAATATCTTGTCGCCATATTCCCTCCCCCAAACACTCATGGGGGTCTCACTTTTTAATCATGGTTCCGAAGCATAAATCAAGTGGTGGTGGTGATTGTAGTAAGATAGAGCAGAGAAAAAGTGATGACTAGTTCAAAATGTGCCGTTATTATTTAGGCTTGCGAGAGGTGATAGTGCTGCATCCGTTGCAAGGTACTCCGGTGTGAATTATTTATTACCATCTATGTTCGTGTGATATTTTAACACACATTCTATACGCTCATGTACAATGCAAATAATAATATATTGCCGCATGCATCTAGCCATCCACTCGATGAGAGGACGTCGGTTATACGGACGCCAAGATGGCGAATCGGTAACGCTCAAGTGACTGTTATAGGGGTGAGCGTGGTTCCTGGAAACTCAGTGTCAGGGGGGCGAGCATTAGGCATGAGTGAGTAGCGCAGGAAGAGTAATGCAGACGGAGGTTTTGTGTTGAGGTAAAATTGAAAAATAAAGTGTGTACACAAGAAATGGAGAGCGACTCGGCATTTATTGAGCACGTTTTTTCCCAACACGGAGTTTTCCAGGAACGTAACCTTCGCGTTCGGCGAGGTTTGCCTACAGTGGCATCCCACGCGTAACGCCCCACTCGCAACGCGAATCCGCAGTTACGCGATTCATCTTTGAGGGACATACTTTATACTCATGCTACGTGTTTCATAGTTACGTGCTCGAGAAAAGAGTTTTTTGTAAAATTTAATTTAAAAAAAAATTCGTTAATTATTAAAAGTAAAAATGTACAGGTTAACTAACTAAAGTCTTGATCTGATGGTGTCACCACCACATGGCAGCGCCCAATGTCACGGGCTGTGGGCATAGCCACCTTAATCTGAGTATAAGCAGCCCACGGAAGCGTTCAAGAAGCCCTAAAGTTACTCATTAAGTATGCTTTGTGAGTAGTAATCTTTTAAATCTTATTTTATTTGTTATTAAACTCCTTAAGTATATTTTAAAATGTTAACAGTATTATAAAGTATTACATTTTTACATAAATCCAGGGCAAAAAAATGAAATTATACTTATTTTTTTTGGTAACGCATACCCCCTTATAAAATGCATGTCTGTGGGAAAATAGGCTTCATACAGTGTGATTTGACTTACGCGCATTGTGCGATGGGACAACTGTATATAAATGTTTTGTCATAAAAAGCAATAGATTTTGATCACTTTTGTTATGCAAATATACAACCTTTTCCTGCAAAAATACAATGAAGCTGTTATACTGCATTGTCATGTACTGTAGTTACATTACTTGGTTAGTCCGAGTGTCAATTACCCCATCCCCCAACACCCCTCCCCTCCATCCCCCACCACTAAAGTATTTTGTGCATCTAATACACTGTACATACTAAATACATTATTTTAGTTTGCATCTTCATGTACAAAAATCATGTATTACACAATTTTTATAACAATTGTATTGTTTTCTGTCTTGCACACATGTTGGGAAATATATATTTTTCTGTTTACCTTTTTGCCATTGCATTGGATAGTGCTGATCGTGCAGTGTAACCGTACAGTCAGTCTAAAGTGTATCACCGTTTTAAGGGCGATAATTTAATTTGCGTTAACACTTGTCTCGCAGCAAAGGAAACTGTGAGGATCACGGCCAAGGCGGGAACCCTTAAACGCAAGCGACAAGTGCATGAATATCTCGACCATCTGACCAAGGATGACTACAGCGACCCCTTCGCTTTGGGCTCTTCACCCGTCTATGTTGGCAAGAAGATTGTGGTAAGATTGAGTCTGCGTAATGATACAGGCGCAATAATGGCGAGATGTGAACTACATCGCCTGGTATACGTGAGGTTGTGGGATCGATCCCTTCCCCTTGACACCTGCTGTATATTTGGAGTTTTAATGTCTCTCCCTGTCACGTGGATTTTTTCTCCGGGCCCTGTAGTTTTTCCCTTCCACATTCAGAAAATGCGTTTAGAGTATTTGGCTGCTATAAATGTCCACGTGATAAGCCACTTCGTTGAGCTATCATTTGTGGCCAGGTTGCTTCTGAAAAAGAGCTATATAGCTCAGTGGGCCTTAGCTGGTAAAATAATTAATTGTTATCATGGCTTACATGGCTGCATATTTTAACTTTTGGGAGGAAATCCTATGGAATAATTTTATTGTACCAAGAATATTAAATTAGGATACTGCTAATAATTTGATGGGCATTATTTATTAGGGATGTGGAATGGAGCATGGAACAGAACATGTATGGCATTTGTTCCTGTTTCATGGCCCAGAGACATGACTAGCCACAACGCCCACTTACAAATGACCCTACCTTTGTCTCTTGAGTTCTCACCTTGACTTTCAAGTTTTGAAATCCAAAGAATAATTTGTAATGCTTCATTTAAATATAATTACCGCTTAAGTGTTTACTGCGAAATGTATCACTCTCAAATGATGTTATGTATACAGGATTTATTTTTTGAAGAAAAATGTGTGTCTAGAAATTTCCATGACAGTGCTTTATGCATTGATGATGAACATTTGAGTTACATTCCCATCCATGGCTAACCTAAGCAAGTGATATCTGAACCTGACCCCCCCCTCCCCTTCACCAACCTGTACTCACCACCGTGGTGAAGTGTGGTTAAACAACCCCCGTGACTGACACGGCATGTGGAGGTCTTCATCCAGCAGTGCCTCTAATTTTGTTTACAAAAACACAGATTCGATTACATTTTGGAAATAGTTACATTTCAAATCTTGATTTAATGGATCATCTGTTCGTTGTTATTTTATGCCCACTTCATATTGGTCATTGCTGCAGTAGACGGCACGTAGGAATTGTATCATTTTATCATAATAATATTTTTATAATAATAGGGTTTTTCCCCTTTTTTCTGGCAACAAAACTGAAACCTTTTTACAAGGATTCATGTCTGCATTAATCACAATACCTGCAGTCAAAATGCAAACAAAAAACATACTATGATAATATATGCATTGTCCTTGAAACTGATTGGTCCACACCAAGGGACAGCTTTCTTTTGAGCCTCGACCCAATTGGTGCTCGACCAGAGGATGCCTGGTATTGTGGTTAATGCAGACATGAATCCTTGTAAAAAGGTTTAAGTTTTGTTGCCAGAAAAAAGGGGGAAAACCCTATTATTATATTGTGGTACTGGCAAAGGAGGTCTAATGAAATATTTTAGTATTTTACCTTGCTTATAATAATGTAGTGAGTTCAACTGAGTCACAGACGTACTCTTTGCAGGCAACACATTTATTGATACCAACACAAAGGGGTAACTGCCCCTTCACCAGATAACAACCTAGGGTGGTGGACCACCATGCTAACTACACTATGGTAATTACACTGGGAGTAGCTACAATGGACAGGACCCCAGCTTGGGTCCACGTGTTGGTGACTCTTCTCGGACGTAGAACGTAGATTCTTCAGGATAACCACAGCAGCCGGTCCCTCTCGGGGACCCGGCTTATCCCCCGTGGTGTGGCTGGCTCCGCCCTTAGCCACGACCACCTTTGATAACCCTCGAGCAGGATCTCGGCCCTGACACGTGACCACCCCAAGCCCCCACCTGGGGACCCAGTGGAGACTTTACGGGTCACGTGTTCTTCGGGGTCAACCAGAGCGCCATGGCCCTTAGTAACCCCATTCCCATGGCCGGCACTCTCACACCCTATCCTGTAGGGGTCGGCACTGCACGCAGAGCGTGGTGCCATCCAGCACTGCCAGTCAGTGCTCACCGAGCCCCTCTAGGGCCGGTACTGCACTCACATGTGAGTGGTGCCCGCGATGTGAATACAGCTGCACGCCGTGCCCCTCTAGGACCGGCATTACACAGTGACATCCGTGATGTCACTACAATAATGTAAAGCTAATGATACATTATGATTACTGGATTCCAGTCCTATAAAAGGGCTCAACAGCAGTGACTATGTGAAGTCTATTGCATCATTGTCAAAGTACATGAAGTTTAGCTATTGTGGTATATTATTCAAAAATTATTTTGAAATTTCCTCTTTTTGTCAGCTGTAATCCCATTCTCCTGTGGCTGGCACAGATACCGTCTATGAGGGCGATGAAAACAGATGATCTCGGTCATCTGCAAACTCCAGGGGCAGCAACGCCTAAGTCTCCATTATCAATGTCCTTTGGTGTCCTGGCTAGCAACCACATTAGTCCTGGAATGCTGGAGCCTGTGCACAGGTATGGCTGAGGAGGATGAAAGGACACAATCTATGCATCTGTTTCTACGCATTCCTATTTTAATGTACAGGCACTGGCTGAGATTGTTTAATATACTTTACATGTTTAGGTTTGGACTCCTAAGGAGGTGGTGGTGTGTCCAATAGATTCATATATGATATCTAGTTTAAGTTTTAGCAGGTCAGTATGTGGCTTTACAAAGCTTTTGAGATTTAAGTGTTAAACTTTAATTTGTATTGAATAGTGTTAGGGCTATAAAGGCTTATTGAACAAAGTTGAAACAAAATAACACTTGTGTCTGAATATCATGCTTGTATTTATTGTTGATCAGTTTAAATATTTTTTTCACCCATATTATCTCGTGCAGATAAAAATGGCGTCTCGTAAAAGTTGCGGATTGCTTCTTGACTGTTTATAATAGTTCTTTCCATTGTAATAGAGCATCACTAAAGAATGGCATTTCCTCCTTTTGTTTCACCCGCAGGGAAGATGCAGACCGATACATCTTCCAGATGCAACGCAGCAAGGCCGGATGCAATTGGGGTAATCTTAACCTACAAAAGGTATTGACTTCATGGATCTGTCGGTGGTTGATTTTTTTAATCTTTGGAACTTAAAACCGCTTCATTACAGTGTTGTCTATAGCACATGCGTGACACATGTCACATGTATTTCAAACTTCAATATAAGCACAAAAATTACTTGGTTGTAGGCCAATCAGTTTCAAAGACAACGCATAAATTATAAGAGCATGTTTGTTTGCATGTTTTGCCACACGTACTTGTGATTAATGCAGAATTTATGCCTTGCAAATGGTATCTTATTCGGTGTTTGAACATCTTAATACCTGTTTTATTGCCAGAAAAGGTCAAACCTATTTCTACTTTTTCAAACTTTTTACACTGACAAAAATATCCCATAGGTAAATAGGATTTGATACAAAAAAGTTTTTGTGCGCTCACATTTGTGATGGAACGGAAATTTCTTAAGCCAGGAAGTGCCGCGCACACACGCAATCTCAAGATTGCTCGTCTTGCATGACCCATGGGCATACTCTCGATTATCCGCGCTGATGACGGGGAGGACGTTTGCGGATAATTAAAAATCACGGATAATCCAAAAATATTACATTTTCACGGATCTCTATGCCAAAAACTAACGATCAAACCGATCGATGCGTGTGCTCAGTTATAACACTTTCCTGCTCCATCGCACAGTCACACCAATCAACATCAACCAAACTCCGCCCACTGTTGTAGCGGCGATCACGTGGATTTCGAATTAACCGAAGCGCATATTTGTTCGGTTTAAGCACGTGACTTGTAATAAACATTTCCAAGAATAATAATGTATAACTCTTTTTAGGTTATTAATTTGGGCTTAAGGGAAAATTCACGTTATTAATTTACGTCAAAATCTCAGGTGCGCGGTTAATCTGCAAATCAGATAAACCGCATCGCGGATAATCAAGAGTCTACTGCATTCAGATATTTGTGCAGGCCACACAAGGTCCTTGCAGCCCTTGGAAATGAAGTTGATCCAATAGTGCCCCCTCTTGGCCAATATTCAGACGACACTTGCCATAAACTCATTAAATAAACTCGCTATTGAACATTATCAAGGATCTAGGGCCACCAACTTAGAAAGCTGACTAAAGTGTTCTCACTCGTGACGCTTTTGCCTGAGTGCGATGACAGTGATACATATGATAATGACAAAGGTGACCAGCCAGAAGTAAAGGTTCATTGACTGAACTTGTACCCAGTGGTTTTACGTGTGTTGAATTTCTTTCGCGCACCGTACGTAGCCAATCGTGTTCATATTTACATGTCTACACATGGTATGTTCCGTGAAAGTGTGCCACCATCGTCAGACACACGTGAAGTTTGTATATAAATTTGAAATGTTCTTTTTATTGTTTCAGAAGTTGTGCAAGGATGATTCCCACAAGAGAGTCACCACCCCAATAAACCATTTCATAACTGAGAGAGGTAAGCTGCAAGTCAAACATCTCTTTATAGACAACCAACAGAACTTTGAAAAAATAAATACTTTTGCGATAGAGCCTATTTTATACTGCGCTTTGTGTCTGCGTACTCAAACCAAGAGTAGCTTTTTGCATCTTTATTGGTGGAACAAAGTTATTCGTGGTCAATTCCAGTCATATGGCAAATACCAGTCTTTTAATATGGCAATCACTATGTGCAATCTATAATGTGATACTCATTTTATAAATCCTGGAGGAATGAGCCACGTTGACGAATTTAAACTTTGAACATGATTTGAGCTTCAGCCTTCTCATTATGAATTTTCCCTCCTGTTACTCTGGAGAGCCACAATAGCGAGATGTTAACTACCTCGCCTGGTCTCAAGGAGGTTGTGGGTTTGATCACGATCCTAATGCCATGGTCATGTGGATTTTTTTTCGGATCCTCCAGTTTTTCCCTCATTTAGAATCACGCTTTTAGAGTATTTGACTGATATAAATATGGCACATGATAAGCTACTTCGCTGAGCTATCATTTATGACCAGGTCGTTTCTGAAAAAGAGCTATATAGCTCAGTGGGCCTTACCTGGTAAAATAAATAGTTTACACTTTAGTTTTTAATTAGCCCACATTTTTCTACATGATGAATTATCTATGTACAGTATTACACTACAACAGACTCTTATAACAGATGCTCATCGTAATTCAAACGCTGGCCACAAATGCGTGGCGCATTCCAAAATATGTAACATTAACTTATTTATGAATGGAAAGATTAAAACATTACAACTGCATTAATTTCTGGATTCGTGCAAAAATTGTAATAATTCTAAACTATTTTTTTTAACCTGACGTGGTCACTTGTTGTGTAGACCAGGATGTTTTAGTGTCCTGCAATTGCAATCCCAAAAAAATAAATTGACGATCATCCGTGAATGCTTGAAATGTTCTGCCAATTCATGATGATCTAAAATTTGAGCTTGTTGCAATAAATAAACAAGGGATATATGAACGTCACTGCACAGGTTACTGATTACAATATTTCTCTTCCAGCAGCAGCTCCAACGCTGGCTAGCAATGGTATTTTAATTGAAGATAATATCTTGCAAAATAGCCTGGACAAGGACAGTGATGAAGAGGAAGATTATTACTTTTCTGATTGAGTTCCAAAATGTTTGGAGCACATTCAAACACATTTCAGCTGAATGTTTTCTCACGTGGAGTGCCTTAGTATCATATCAGATTGGCTGTACATGAAAACACTTTGCATACTTCGTTAGGTAACCAGGGTCTAATGAATATCATAATAAAAAAATGTATTCACAGTTATCATTGACAGTAGTTCGTCTTTAAGAGAAAGTAACAATTGCAAAAAGTGAATGGAAACAATGCTTCAGACTTACGAACCGACGTGCGATATATGGAGCTGTAATATGTAGGTGCATTTTCAGCCACTGAATTTTCCAGTTTACTGTTGACATGTTAAGATACAACAATGTTAATATTAAGTTTACTCTTAATGCTTTATGTACTTGAATGATTATCCAATGTTGGTAAAATAAAAATATTGAGACACGTGCAGAGCTATAGCACATTTCCACACATTACGTTTTACAGTCACATTTTCAGTTAGGAATTAAGCATATATTTCCCAATGTTAGGCCATATGATGGCCTGCAGGTACTTTTGTGCTTCATGTTGCTCAGCTGGCAGGGATTCAAAATCAAAATCTTTATTTTAGACTGGAGGAATCCGATGTGCTATGAAGCTCTTTTTCACAGATGTCCAGTATGCTTCATGTTGAAGGAAAACTGATTTTAAAAATTGCCGTGTCAAGTAAAGGTAACCATATTAAGTAAAGGGGCTTTAGGAATCCAATATTCAAATAGTTTTCACAATGGATATTTGAGAGGACCAACACAGGTAAACATACAAATGCATAAGCATATCAGGCGCCTTGTACATTAAAATAGCAGTGTGGATTTCTCTTTGAAAGTTTTATTCTGCTTAATACATCTGTATCCATCTCGATTTTTTCATGTCAGCACTTGCTTCTTGAGTGCTGGAAATTATGTAATAGTTGTCGACAGTCTTACTCACTAATAATCTGTACAAGTTGATTACAATACGAGTGGAATTGTCATACGGTTGATTGAATGCTATGCTTTTGCCATTAATCTTGCAAAGCTCACGTGTCTGTTATGTACGAGTATAATATTCACGTAAATCAGGTGAATCCACATGTGCAGTGTCACTGTTCCTTCGGATCCAATGTCGAAAAGTATGCTCAAATAACCCGCATGGTGTGCCCTCCACGAGGGGCTTGTATGCATGTTTAACTTAGTTCGCACCGTACGTAGCCAACCGTGCAAATCGGAGGGTGCGGGGACAAGAGGGCTCGACATGGACATATTGTAAAGGTTGAACATGAAGTAAACTACAGTACATGGTTTTTATGATGCCCGTATCCCCTTCAAGTAAAGTTTGAAGGAATGTTTGAAAGAGAATACAAATTTTAATAACTAATTATTACTACATTGCCTATGTTGACTTCAAACAAATAAACCTTTTTTTAAAGTCCCACTGCTTTCGTGACTGCATGGATTCATATTCTTGGTTCTTTCGGTAAAGTCACGTAGCAGGGAAACAATAAAATAATAAAAATATAAAACAATACAATTATCACGATGTTTCGACTGCAACACAAGCAATCATCATCTAAATAACTGCCAAATCGCTCTCCGTGGTGCTAACGTAAAAAAACTCCACTTTTTTCAAATGTTTTTGCTGTGGTTTTCACTCCTGGTGATGATTGCTTGTGTTGCAGTCGAAACGTCGTGAGAATTTTATTGTTTTATATTTGTATTATTTTATTGTTTCCCTTCTACGTGACTTTACCGAAAGAACCAAGAATATGAATCCCAATGCTTTGTTTATCATCTACAAAACGGTTTTCTATCATATATGAACATTCTGTCTCTTGAAATGGATATTCTGATGCAAAACCACAACGGGTCATACATGAAACGAATACATTATCTTCTGAAATGTTATCATATTCGTAGCGTGTTTTGAGTTGAAAACATGGTACGTAAAAAAACTCGCATTCAGTTCCACAAGGCTCTATACTGTAAATGATCTGGAAAACTAACTTAAATACTGTCAACTTGCAGAGGATACTGCAATAACGGTAGCTAGAAATTCACCACGAGGTATGCCTTAAATCACAAGTAATTTTGATCTCATTCAGCAACGGCCTATTTCCCTCAAATTGGCTTGAAACGCAAATAAAAATAAGCACAGTAATGCTTTTCTCCAACAAGCGAAATCCTGCCACGTTTCCAACCCAGATTTCATGTATAGATGAACAACATCAGACAAGTAGAGTACAAATACCTGGGCTTCTTCATTGACTCTTCAGTCGAATTGGATTGCATTGAATACACCCAGTGGCTTTACTGTTCACACAAAAACTGCATACCATCTCCACTACATTTAGATATGGTAAGGGCAACCTTATAATTCCTTAAGTATGTACAGTAGGTTGAACTTCTTTAACACCGTACGTAGCCATCCGTGCTAATCGGAGGTGTGAGGAAGGACAAAACTAAACACAAAAAAGCAGTTCTAAAGAATTGAGTTTTCAATCGAGATTTAAAAGGGCATCGCTCCAGTGGCTTCCTCAAAAGATGCATAAACACCACATTTATTACCATGATGTCGTTTATTAGTTCGCTTCTGAGCTTGCATTAAATAAGTTAAACTCCCCCTGCCATTCTGCTCTTCACTTTGCACTGGATGCTCCTTCCCAATACCCACCACTGTGATCTGTATATCAGTTCAAACTTAGACTCCATCTTCTCGTAGAAATATGAAAACTGGGCTGTTTTTAATATTCTCGTGGATAAATATGCTGATAGATCTGTGGATAAATATGCTGATAGATCTGTTGATCCCCACAAGAAAATAAAGTCTTATATGGGCATTAAAAAAAACCTCCAGGTTTTTATTGGGTCTGGGGGGAAAAAAGGCCTCGTTAGCCTGGTTCCTCTGTGGAATCGCGGTAATCGCATTAGATTTGGAAATTAAATCATTGCCGACCATGAGAAACCTCCGCTCACTCTTTAAACTCAAGTTCCTTCACACATGTGGCTGCAATAAATCAGCAGATAACCGGGCCCTAAGGGGCTCAAAGTCATGGGCTTTTTTCCAATGCTGACTTTAGTCTGATTCAAGTTTGACCAGTAACACTGACCAAGTGAGGTTGTGTAGGAGGTAGTAGTCTTCTGAGACTAGTTCTTTTGTAAGGACTTTCCAAAGTACTGTAGTGTCAAACCAGACTAAATACATTGCCCCCATCGGTGTGTATACTGTTGTTTTCCCACAGGATAGCATTATAGTACACGCTGGGTATTTTTGCTTTTATTTGGAAAGGACCAAGTCGTTACATCAGCCTTGTGACTGCTTTGACATTGAAAACAAGTTTGCAATTAATATTATAAACTGTGTGGATCAGAACATCGAAAGCCTGCCGTTTTGGAGGGCTATATGAAAAAAAAGATGGCACATTCAATTGTTGGGTGGTCATGTCATGGGCAGTAACGGCAATCCAATCCGACATTTTTGCAGGGTAACCGTTTAAGGCACACCAAATCGTTGTATCCATACAAACGAGAAGCAGGTTTCACGGTAAAAAAAAATAACGAAGTACAATACTAAACATAGTAGCGTCTTAGTTTTTTCCGTTTTGATAGAAGCTAATTGAGCTGAGTTACCCAACATTCTGGCAGACGTTTTAATTCAAATCTGTACAGTAATCTTGTCATTATTCATAAACATCGACATATTACATGTCACTGTTTGGTCTTATCTTAAAAACCTTTTTTGCATTCTACTGGTGGATAAAGGCCTCCCCAACCCATGTTGGTCATCGGGGTTGATTGAACACTTCACCAAGCTGGTAAGCAGTGGAGGTGATTGGGTGACGGAGGGCCGGTTCAGTCTCCACTCATGTTAGCTGTGGCTGGAACTCAAACTCAGGTCATCGGGTTCTTGACAGTGAACTCATGCTTAACTTTTTTTGTGCAGTGAATTCGATTCAATTGATTTTTGGCTAAGGCCACAATGATCTGCCCATATTCGTGGTACAACCAAAACCAATAGCCGCCGTTTGCCACTTAAGTGACGGTGACGTCCCCACGGCGCCTGTGCCAGGCTGGGTGCACTTTGAGGCCACGTGACGTGTTGATGGCTCGCCGACAGGAAGTCTCGAGACAGACCCAGGTGCCATGGGTTGGCTGAGAACTGTTAGATGCACCAGCTGTACCCTCTACTCTGCCAGCGTGATGCATTTTCGCTGCCCGGCGCTCTGCTCGTTGTTGTGAGCGTCGCTCCTCTGCCCTCCGTTGTTGCTGGAAAGCGACTGCTTCCAACTGCCTCCACCACCGACAGGCAAACATTCAATTGTCACGTGTACAAAGGGCTTAACGCACCAATAATATGCCTACGTGTTAAACTGACCAATAAGTATTGTTTCAGCTCATAGGTAAGCCACCAGTTATTAAAATCATTGTGGCCTAACCAAAAAAAAACGATTATGAATCATAACACGATTAAAAACAACTCGTAACTCTCCATCAAGACGTGGTTGGCATACTGATAGTTTTACAAGCGATGTAGACTACTTCGCATAGGAATGCACAGATGAGAAAAGGCGTGGTTGGTTAACGTCTTGAATACTTAGAACATGTTGAACCATGAAGAATACTTAAAACATGTGGTAACATGCTAGAGCTTTTTGAAACACTGTACATACAAAAATCACATTCATTAATAACACTACCTTATAAAAGGAAATATATGTAATATGCGCCATTTCAGACGTGTCCTTGTGCTACGTAAAAGGGCCATTGCCCAGAATTTCACCTGTTATAAAGTTTCCCCTTCATGGCAGTGCTATTGATGAATGTGGAGTTTTTTTTGTTACTTTGCTTGTTATACCACTTCCAAAGCAGTTTATCCCCAAATTATATGTACATAGAACATGTTGTTCTATCGCCTTATGAATGTGTTACTAAGACAGGAATATTGCTACAATTGGCCATACAGGGAACCAGGAGTGCTGACATATCAGTCTCGTGGAAAACGTCAATAACACGTCTTGGCCAATGAGCGCACCTCGCATGTTAACCTATCACAAAAATGTATGTCTAAGTCAACGGTACTTGCAGTGCTTTATTTTGTGATGCTCAAATTCACACGTTAACATCTGTACCGGATTGCGAACTTTTCAACAAACTTGGGGACTCGCAGGACTTTGCCAAGACGGGTTAAATCAACGCAGTATTATACACAGAGAAAACAGCAGCACAGTTGAACTCCCCCCCCCCCCCCCCCATTAAACATAACCTACAGACAAGATACCCCTTTCACCGTTTACGCGGTGTTCCCATGCTTCCTAGAGTTACATACCAATTTGCACATGTAGTAAAAAGGAAAGCGCAACGTCAACCTGGGTATTTAACAACCCTCCCCCCCACGTGAAAAACACAAGGCGAGCAATGAAAGCTCCTCGCGGTCCTTGACAGTGCAAACCAAAGATTCTGGGAAACGGAATGTGTTTGTTTCACGTTCTGACCCGCCCCCACTGGACGTGTGTGAAATGGAGCTTTATAGCTCATCGGATTCCTTCAGCATAAATAAAAGATTCTGATTCTGTATCATGAGAGGAAGCGCAGATGGGCTTTTCCCAATTGTTCGCAATATCAAGGGCTGCAGAGGCTGTTTAGGGAATTGCTTCAACCCTTCTATAGAAACATGCTGTGGAATAAGGCGTATGGACACGTCTGCACTGGCACATCACCCAATGACGAGGAAAATCATACATCTATTCCACATATTATTAGCACAGGCACATCCCGTGCAAAATAATACTTGTCGTGAAAATGACTTACCAAGGAAACAAAATATCCAGTTAAATATCGTGATCGCAACACATTTTGTTGCGTCTGTAATCCAATTTACTGTAAATCTTAACTGTCAATCGTAGCTGTGTGAATCATAGAACATTAACATATTTTAAAAATGCATTCAATAACATTTCCTTATAAGGAAAAATCTAAAACTCGGCCACGTTTTTGGTCATCGCCCTTCTTCGTAGCCTCTCTGTGCACGACGAAGGGCCATTGGCTGAACCGTCACCTATTTATATATCTTAGCCAAATGCATTGTTGACGAATGAGTCATTTGTGCACCACTGCCAACACAATATCACCAAATAATTTGTTAAATTCAGAGCTATGCTACCTGTGTATTACGATTCATAGAGGGTGAATGTCATATAGTGTATATATTCTACTATAGTTAATTACAGACTTAGAATGTTCCGATTTTCACTGGTTATGCTGCTATGCAAAAATCCCTTCAAGAGGAAGTAACATTGATGCAAAAAAACTGTATAAATGTTAATGAAGACACTTCTGAATATATCTCTGATCACCAATTCATCAGGGCCATTAATATTTTCAAATAAAAAAGCCTTATGCATATGTTTCACTCATATATACTTATGATTCAATACAAAAAACTCAAAAGAATTTTCTCAAAGTATTTATGTGAATTTTCTCATACATTTGTGCATACAACTTTAACTGTAAAGTACTCATCAGAAAAAAATATCCCAAGACCGTTCCTGCTTTGAATCACACAGGAATTTACCATGGAAAGACAAAAAGCACTTTAATGCAAACGAAAATTGACCTTCAATAACCCTAAATGCAACATGAAAAGCAATGTAACTTCAACAAATCAATTAAATGGTTAAAAGAATATAATTTTTTTTACATATTCTTTGAAAACCGAGAAAAGGCTAAAACCCACAATACATCAACAACTAGCCAAGGTTATCATCAACTATGTACATGATCTTGTCTCCACCGTATTAAAATGTACACAAATCATTTGTTGGACAGCACACGGATGTCAAAAGACATTTTTATTGACATGTTTAGTGGAAATGCCAACGCCAATAATTTGTGCCTCTCCAGCCCCACACCCCTCACCACACCCTGACTTCCTCGCCGCACGTGACTAGTCTATTTTTACGGCCGCGTAGATTTTACGAATGAATATGTACGCAGCGATGAAGCCGATTGTTCCGGTGAGCAGCCAGAAGGTGACGATCATCAGTCCAGTGTAGCCAAAGTACAGGAGCGAAGGAATAAACTCCACAATCTCCAACTGCAAAAGCAGACATTGCGTTTAAAATACATTTTCATAAATATATTATTAAAAATAAGCATGTACACACCTGAATAACTATACCTACGCAAATCTGTATTCAAATACAAATGTACAAATAATATTACGATTAAAATAAAATTAATACATTTGAAATCATAAATTGGACTACATACTGTGAGCACTTATCCTCTGGCCTCAACATCTTACACGTATTAGTGAATGCCAACCATTGTCATGGCTTGCTATATTACGGCGCTATAGAAGTTGTCATCACGCCAGTGTGTGGTGAAACCTGGTATCAAAATACTGTCCATTGAATAGAACAAAGATTTATATTAATAATGCATTGCTAATGATGTTAAAATATACTACGAAACATGTTAATAGCATTACATTAAAAAAAGCATAACATTTTTTAATAAAAAAAATTGCATTTCAATGCTGATGCAATGAACGCTTCTAAGTAAAGTTGAGTATTGGAAAGGTATGGATTTTGGAGATTATTATTTGTACGGAATTTAAACTGCAACAATTAAAATGTATTTTGGAATACCAACTGGAGTTGACTCGGCATATTGAACATTCAGCACATGGAAGATAATGCTGTAACCAAATATTATCGAGGGACTATTTTAAAGTAACTTCTGAATTGAATTTTGTGATCAAAGATGCACATGCGGGAATGCATAATTGTCGTCGGGGTATCGCAAGTTACAACTGTAGCACAGAAAAACTGGGGTTACCTTATTGAAAAAGTAGAAGACGGCATACATGAGAACGTAGAAGGCAGAGCCTCCCGATACAATGAATGTCCTCCACCACCATCTGTAATCCTGAACACATCGTACGAATGCATTAACACCGAGTGCACAACACCAGAAAAGGAGACCACACACGTGAGAAGTCCGATAAAAAGCCACCAGGAAGTTAGACTTGCATGGCGATATTGAAATGTTTGAAAGTGTACATATAAGAAAGTCAAAACAAGTTTTAATTAATCATTGTATGCGTTCAAAAATTTACCGAAAAATCACTTTCATGCTAAGGTATGCATTTTTCAAATTCTGTTAAACTACCATGCAGCATTCCCATCCGCAAATCCCATCACAGGAAGCAGGGTATCTACAACTCATCCAATTATTTATGGATCCCTACGATGTTGCAGATTATTGCGCTGCGGCTGCAAATAGATAATTGCGTTGCAGCTGCAAATAGCCAGCCGCACTGTTGTGGTTGACTATACTTTTCAGTGCCAACGTGCACCATTAAGTGTGCACCATTAAGTGTGCACCATTAAGTGTGCACCATTAAGTGTGCACCATTAAGTGTGCACCATTAAGTGTGCACCATTAAGTGTGCACCATTAAGTGTGCACCATTAAGTGTGCACCATTAAGTGTGCACCATTAAGTGTGCACCATCAAGTGTGCACCATCAAGTGTGCACCATCAAGTGTGCACCATCAAGTGTGCACCATCAAGTGTGCACCATCAAGTGTGCACCATCAAGTGTGCACCATCAAGTGTGCACCATCAAGTGTGCACCATCAAGTGTGCACCATCAAGTGTGCACCATCAAGTGTGCACCATCAAGTGTGCACCATCAAGTGTGCACCATCAAGTGTGCACCATCAAGTGTGCACCATCAAGTGTGCACCATCAAGTGTGCACCATCAAGTGCACTTTGCGGCAGACCTCACACGCAGAGCGATCTCGCTTTCCTCATCGCCCTTCAACATCAGATTCACAACCATGCCTAATAGTGTGTTAATTATCACGGTCACCAGTCGCAGTAATCATATATATTTATTGACGGGATACTACACCCATGCCCAAACCACTGAGCTGGTGATACCCCCTAGTCTGATGCACCTCAAAGTGTTACGAGCAAGAGACAAGATGAAATTAAGAAAAAACTTGTCCAACCAATGGAACTCTAACATGGAAAGAGAACTTGCATTTCATGCTGTGACCTTACACCTCAATCATACCACTGGGAATCATTACATCTGCAAGGCTTGCGACGCACATCTCCAAAGCAACATGGTGCTAATCACCTCATCACCAACCACGGAGACGAAGCAGGCGAGTATGCCCTCAGCAAAACAAACCCGTTTTAGCAATTGTCAAGATCAAATTTGCTATGAATGGCCACAGCCCAAAACATCACCTATTATTAACGTTCAAGGCAGTGTTATTGACGGCTGTGTTGATTGTTTTGATACAGTAGTTCCTGTTGATAAATATTAAGTTATTATATCTTTCTCACATGTTACTTTTCATTGCTGAACTGTTTATAATCTCAAAGGTAATAAGCCACCATGTTGTAATAACTAAGATATTATTATACTGTAAATCAACAATATAACAGTGACTGTATGGTTAATTTATAAACACGCAACCTTTACAAAATCAACGATTACAAGGAAAAACACAATAAAAGTACAATAAGAAGTTTAAAGTTGTGTAAAAATGATACCCGAATGTTTTCTGATAAATAAACATAACAACATGCATGCTACATGAGTATCATCATATTAGCACATGACACGGGCACCTTAATTCTGCTTTGGTTGAAGTATTTATCGGGTGAACGTAAAACAGCCTACCTCGGCGCACAGTTGGAAGTACACCATGACGATGCTGATCTGGGAGCAGGAGATCACCAGGATGACAAACACAAGGAATAGGAAGCCAAAGAGGTAGTAGAACTGATTCTCCCAAATGGCCTGTTGAAAAAAAAACATCGTTGCAGCCTATCAACGTGTACAATAAAATATTCCCGCAAGCGGTGTAAAAAGAATGGACATGCACTGTCAACTGGAGCAATGCAAGGACGGGAAAATATGCGGTAAAGTGACATCATCAGAGATTGATGGTGACAGGACGTTTGGGAAGAGAATGTACGCAGCAAGGGTTCTTGCCCAGCCTGATAGCTACGAGGCGCCTGGCTCTGTTTGGACATGTCAGACGGACGCCAGTTATTTATTTAGAGATAAACATGAAGCGTTTTGACATTACTTAAATTTTGCATGAACGTTTGTATGCAAGGCAGAAACAGAAATGTTAAATCAATACAAATGTAACACATTTGCGACGTAAATCAATCTCTCCCATCAGTGCACTGGACAGCCTTTAGTTATTTGGTTAATTCGGCTGTGTGGTGTGTAGCTTAACTTTTAAAAATTATGCTACGCACTGTCTAGCGGCAGCTGCCAACGTGCTCCAAGTGCCTGTGCTCTGGTAATGCGTAATGCTGCAGAGCGTGTGAACATTATCGAGAGACCACAAATAAGTTCAGGCCATTTGAGTGATTTTTTTACTTTTAAATGCATACCAAATGGAAACGACAGAATTTGTAAAAACAGGTATAAGTCACGTGTGTTAATTACAAATAAATATGAAAAATCTCAATGAGCATTTCATATAAAAACATTCTTAAAATGGGGGACAAATAAAGTGAAATAATAATTGAGGTGATTTTCCAAGCTTGATACATTTCATACTAAATCCACAGTTATCCACAATGTTTCCACAATTCAGATGTACATAGAAATGCAATTAACATTGACGTTGAATAGAAATCAAATCACTGTATAATTATTATTTTAGTTTTAAAAAGATACCTACACTGAAAATGAAGAACAGCTCAATGAAAACAGCACCAAATGGTAATATTCCAGCCATGAGAATTACAGCCATGAGAATTACCATTGACGTTGAATAGAAATCAAATCACTGTATAATTATGATTTTAGTTTTAAAAAGATACCTACACTGAAAATGAAGAACAGCTCAATGAAAACAGCACCAAATGGTAATATTCCAGCCATGAGAATTCTGTAAAAAAATAGAAATAAAAAAACGTTAACAATCAGACTAGCAGAGGTTTTTTTGTATGTAATGCCACATCACCATACATCATTTTATCATTGATAGTGCTGGGAGGCAAAAAAATTGGCATCAAATAGCTACAAAATGTTGTTAACAACAAGGAAGAATGAATGAACTTGGATTTATGAACGTGTGATTATGAAGAATTTAATCTGAAACAATATAACAAATTAGCAGTAGGAATCAATGCTTTTGAATATAAGGTCACCCAGAAAGTAATGCCCCACTGGCAAGGAATACACATGTTCTTGTTCCTCGATGGCATGAAACCTTTGAGATGGATGGGGATTATACGGACAAGTAATGTGCACATAACCAATAAATCTGCTAACTCTAGGGGTAAGTCTCACTTTTCCTCAATACATTTCGGCAGAGAAAATAGACATTTTTGTATCACAATAGACAGTTAAATAAGCAACAGTTTACAACACTGTTTCAACCTTTCGCAGTTAACCCCAAAATGCAACATTAAAACATGAACATTCTTTTAACGATTGTTTATTTTGATTTAAAGCTTTCGTGACTGGAGTGATTCATATTCTTGGTTCTTTCGGTAAAGTCACGTTGAAGGGAAACAATAAAATATATATAAAACAATAAAATTCTCACGACGTTTCGACTGTAACACAGTCATCATCAGGTGTGAAAACCAACGGCAAGAAACATTTGAAAGTGGCGGTTTGTATTTATTTATTTTTAAACGTTAGCACCACGGAGAGCGATTTGACAGTTTGTTTAGATGGACGAGTCCATCTATGTTCGGAAAAGAGGAGGGGGGAGACGAAAAATTAATGTATGCTTTCTGAAAGCCACCGTAAGCGTGAAAAATCAAGTAAGACCCGAAATGGTTTATCAAATCCTTCCAATGATTGCTAAGCCAGAATCCATCTTCTCGATTGAAATTGTCTGTGTTTGTGTATGTGGATAGCCTCATGAACGAATCTCTCATGGAAAGCCCGTGCCTCCCATACGTAAACTTTAGTGTCGTATTTTTTATTAGGAAACAAGTAAAATAAATGTATAGAATTTAAACGGAGAAAGTTACCTCAAATAAAATCAACCTTTTATTTAATTACAATTGTATGTATGTTGACCCTCTTTCACACCATACAAAGCCAACTGTGCTAATCGGAGGTGTGGGGGAAGGACAACAAACTAAACACAAAAATTAGTTCTAAAGAAATTAGTTTTTAGTCATCCTGGCCATGGAGGAGGGGGTTGGAAAGTTGGGGAGTGGACAGAGTTGAAGGGCCGAGACCACGAGGCGTGCATTGAGACAGGACCCAAGCCGTGCCTCGCGCCATTCCAGGAATTGCACGGCACGGCTTGGAAATGCCAGTGGGAACGCAGCACATGCTTTTGTCACATAGCAGCCACCATTGGAAGTGGAAAACTTCAATACAGGCCGACCGCCCATCAACACCGAGGTGCATGAACCATGTAAAAAAAAACATGTGGCGGCAATTAAATAAACACATTTTATGTTCTACTTGAGTATTCCATGTTTCGATTTGCATGGTGTATGGGCTAAGATTCTTCTGGTGTAAAACTGCCATTTCATCCAATTGTGTAGATATACACGTTTATATTAAAATAACTATATATCAATGTATTTAATTTAAGTCTTTGCACATGTACATTCTTAGGGATGCATTCAAATAATGCAACAAAACATGTCTACTGAAAAGTGAAATGTCACTACTTACCCAATGAACTTATTCATGTACCAGCGCTGCTCTGGTATCTGTCGAGGGATCTGGTTTGTTCGGACGGGATTCTCGTAGCCCTTCTTGCGGAAACCAAAGTAGTATCCAAGAAAGACGAGTGGCATTGATATTCCAAACCACATGCACAGCAGGGCCACCATGGTGCTGAATGGAACCTGTCTCACGGTCAGAAACAATGATAACTAAAGTCATCTCAGATGTGCCTGAAGCAAATCATTTTATGCAAACGTACGCTGTTAGCAATGATACAACTTTTTTTCATGAATCAAATTCAAGGACAGTGCATATTATTATCAGAGTTGTCTTTTTGTTTGCATTTTGACTGCTTGTGTTGCGGTTATTTCAGACATGATGCCTTGAAAAAAGGTGTCAGTTTTTTGTGCCAGTTAAAAGGGTAAAACCTATTACTATAATTTACTCAGGTTAAGTGAATTAAACAATTACATTACTCTAGGTGAGCAACACAGCTGAGTGTATTACATTTCACACAATATTTTTCAATATTTAACGACTTTTGGAATTTTTTGCAGTACGTTTAAACACTTAATTGTCTCAGTATGTTAATTTAAATTAATCATCTGCATACCAAATAATGTAATGTTCATTGATAGCCGTCCAACTTGCATAAGTTAATTCAGTTGAGCCCAATTCTAAGAGCCATATTTTCCAACAAGCTGTGCAAGAGCAAAGTGCACGTCTAGGGCTCCATGTAACATCGTCTTAAGATATGGTTACGCAAATAGTATTGCATAGAAAGGCACTGTGAAAATCTCAAGTACCGCAAAGGGGCAATGTTCACTGGTGAACGAATGGAAAATACAACATTCGATTTCTATCTATTAAAGAGAAAAGGAATGTATCGATACTTGCAAATGTATACAATGAAAAAAATAACTGTTTAACTAATCATTTACACTTGCACACGGGGAGAATATCACTGCATCGCCTATTTAAATGCAATGTTCAATGTCAATTATGTTAAATGATGGTCAACCATGCGTAAACCATGCTGCCTTTTATATGAATGTATAACTGGCCCTCTACGTGTCCGAAGTATACAGCCTAGGTGTGCTGTTCGATCAGAGCTTGACTCTGCGCTCGCAGGTCGCAGCTAGGTCAGAGCAGGTTTATACCGCCTCCGAACACGCCGAGGATTGCGCTCGCTCCTCTCCACCCCAGACTTGGAATCATGAGTTTATGCCTGTCTCAACATGACTGGATTATGCGAACGTGGAGGCTCTAGTGTTTCAGTTTCAGTTTTTTCAGTTTATTTATTTTGGTATAGCCCTGTGAGCCATTCGGCTCTTGAATCGGGTGCAACCACAACAAACAAAAAAACACGAACAAGAAAAACATCTTAAAGTGACTATGTGACTGTGCAAACAGAAAATCCATGAAAAAAAACAGCAAAATATTCCTAAAAAAAGCACCGTACACCAATGCTGTGTGCAAAAAATCCCAGTGGGATGCAAGTCAAACAACAACCACAAGAAAACTTAAGGCCATCGGTGAGTGCAGAATGCAGCTGCTCAGATGATCTGATGGGTTATCCATTTTGAGCACATTACACCTACCCTCAGCAGCTTGCACTGGCTACCAGATCATTTCCGCATCCAATTCAAGGTTCCTGCTCTCCTAACCTGCATGGCTTGGCCCATCTCCCTGCAAAACGATCTCCCTCCAATCCTCAGGCACATACAACGCATTCTGTTCCGTGGGATACAGCAAGACTTGCACAGCCCAGGATTTTTCACTCAGAGCTGGGGGGGACAAATCCTTCTCTCGAGGACTGTCCCAAAAATCTGGAACACCCTGCAGCGGACATCCCAAAAGTGCCGAGTGTCTCTCAATTCCGTCGTATGTGCAAGACACATATTCACATTTGCCTTCTCATAAAATCTAAAAACTGTTTCTTTACTTATTATTTACTACTTACCTCTCTTATGCTATTCGTTGCGCACGGTTGCACTTTATTTAGCGCTCGGTTGCAATTTACTTTGCTCAGTCGGTGTTAGCCGCCGAGGTCACGACGGGTTTCTTTTTTAATTTCTCTTGCTCTATGCCCCCCCCCCCCGTACCGTTCTCTTTCTGTTGCATTCTGCACTGATGCCTACTTTATTGAGGGCGATATTGGAACATAAAATAAAGATTGATTTATTTTCAGAATGGTGCAAGGTTTTTTTCTGTAATGCGAGCAGCAAACCAATTGACAAATGAAGAAAAGGTTTCATTTCCCTTAAACAGTAACAATGTTTTCTTACCGCACCGGACGAGTGCTTTCCCCAGATGAAGAAGTTGAGAATGAAGCAGACTCCAAACACAACTGCAGGGTATATCGTGGTCGTCTGCAAACGTACAAGTCATACTTAACGCGTGACATAGGTGTTTCATGAGATAAAAAGATTTCTTACAGAGTGCTGAAATGTTACAATTAAGACTGCAAAGGTAAGCTAAACAAAAGATAATTATGAAAAAGTACAGTTTCAATTAAAGTTAAAATATTATAATCAACAACATGGACTTTACCCAGAAAGCACCCTTTTTCCAACGCTGTCCTTTCAACGTGCGATAAAGTCGGCCTGAAAAGTATCCTCCAAATAGTCTGCAAAGTAAAAGGTAAGCACGGCACAGCTTTGCTGTTAGAAGCTACAAATATACCCGTTGAAAATAGTGTATTTGACTGGTTACCAAGGGATTTTCTCTAGTTCCATTAAATCCACTTCACGCCAGGTAAGTGTAGAATATATATACAAGTGCGGGTCGCAATGTTTTTTTCAGACCTTCAGTTTAGAATCCCTCTGAATGATTATTTTCATGGTATGCCAACAGAGTAAATATTGTCCCAAAAATCACATCAAAGAAAAAAGGAAGGCCGATCACACCTGTACACATCTCTCAGGATCCCAATCATGGCCATGTACAGCAACTACGGTACACTCTCCGCATTATAAGCACTCACCCCATGAACATGAAGAGAAAACAAGAGGTGGTCATAAGAGCACCGCGACTCGAAGGAGACAGCATGCCCAGACCTGCCACGACTGATTAGACAAAAAAATGCATGATATTTGTTATGGGGGAGGCACAAAATAACGAGAGCAGTTTCATAATTGCTGTGATTTGTTTTAATACGTATTGCTTTATCATGCCGATTGGATCGCTTTTAACTTACTGATAACGATTAAGACCATGAGAAACAGTTGGATGCCAGAACCCAGAAGTGAAGAGAGCAGCATCGGGTACTGTGGAGGCCTGAAGACATCTCCATGCACAAGCTTCCAGCCAGACTCCTCCATAGTGTCCTCCTGGTAACGGATAACAGCCATGGCGAGTTATTACTCATGTAGTACGTTTCATTTTCTTTTATCAACAACGTACATTCACATGTACAGCCCTTTGTGAATCCACTACTGGATGAGGGCCTCCCCCACACTATGCGGGGACACGTTAATAATTGTTTTTGATAAGAGTGCTTTCACGCCGGGGCACCTCAATGTGCTTTACGCGCAAAAGGCGACTTACATCACACATGTAACCTCAAACATTGGGGGGGCTCCCAGTGGCAGGTGACTCAGCACCTGACCTGCAGCAAATGGGCATTGCGCTGCCAGTAGCGGGCAATGGTTGCGGTAACACCACTGGAGTAATTTATGATGATTGTTTACCAAAGAAAACCTCACTGAGTCTCAATACTTTTTTGCAGGAGGATGCTGCCAGGTGTTTGCAGTATGGTGCAAAGTTGATATGTCAATACTAGGTTACATTGTATTGGTTTAACTTTTTAGCTATGGGAGGACCTTTAGGAAGCCCATGCAGAGAACAGAGGGAGAGAACATACAAACTCCACCCAGAAAGGCGCCCGAGTCGGGAATCAAACCCAGCCCCTTATTGCTATTTAGGCACAAGTGTTAGAATGGCAAATACATAAGTAAATGTATTCCAGAAACGAGTATATAATGTTTACATTCTGCATGGTGTAAAGCAGTGGTTGTAGAACTTTCTTGGCTATTGCACCCCCCTTGCTGAATATTGTTTCAACCAAGTAACTCCCTTTACCCGACCCAACATAACTCTGGGAAATAAATTAACATTCATATTTTAACTCATTGTCTATTTTGTGAGGTATCCTAACTAGCTCGTAACTATAAGCAAATAAAACAAAATTCAACAGACGCTCTGCATGCATGGAGTAATTTATTCATGCTCGCTCGTTACTCTGGTAAACCAAATTGTTACGAACAAAGTTTAGAAAGTAATTTTGTATCTTTTTAGATTACCATATGAATTAAAATTTTATTCTGGTTTTATATTAGCAGAGTCATACATCATTATTCACGGATTTAGTGCCACTTGTACGTTCTCGTTTGTTGTTTAATTTGCCCTGCTTGTTCGGTGCATTAGCCTAAAGGTAACATTTGTATGGATGTATGTTGAACTACTTTCGCACCATAAATAGCCAAACGTGCTAATCGGAGGTGCGGGGGAAAGAAAACACACTGAACACAAAAATCAGTTCTGAAGAATTCAGTTTTAAATCGAGATTTAAAAGCACATAGCTCAGTGGCTTTCAAATATAAGTTGAATAAACACCACATTTATCCAGTTCTGTTTTTACGTACAATGTCATCTTCCCGGTTGTAGTTTGCAATGTCACGTCGTAGAGTTCTGATGATTATCATGCTGAGGATGCCTGTAAAATAAAAGGCTGCTTTGTGAATCAACAGAATATTTGGATGCAACACAAAACATATCATCTTGACCTTCGTGGATCACAACTTAATTCTTCTCTTTTTCTAAAATAAACGCATCATGACAAAAGTGTAAATGTTTATTACCTTGACCTTTCCTCTGACAACACTCACACTTATGTCTGCATTACTAGCAAACATTTCTTCTACGGGAAAGTGAAGCCTTCACGTAGCAGAGATGTTTAACTGACCATGATAATTAATTTCATAACCAGTCCCAGAAGGCTCACTCGGTCGGTGGGATTCAATGTTAAATCATTCCAATAATCCTGCTTCAGAAGGATTGCATTCCAGTTGTGCAACACCACAACAAAGATGCTGGTGGTGTATGGCAGGGGTGGGAAAGCTTCCCGACCCTACGCGCAACATCAAAAATATGGCCATGTGCCACAAGAAGCGTGGCCGCATGGGATGGCCAAGCGGCCAGTTGGCTCGGGCTGGTTGGTTGTAGAGTTATGAATTCAGAAATGTGCAAATTTCCTTGGTAATAAATTGAAAAACATCTTTAATTAACTCAAAAGTTGAACATCGGCTTAGAAGCACGAATAAAAGCATGACACAGCGTTACGATTCGAGTGCAATCTGTGACGTGTACGGCTCGCGTAAAAAAATATCATGAGCACAAAAGTCGCAGCAAACAAACCGAGAGATAAGCAACTCCATTTTTCGGTTTGGACGAACCAGAGAGGAAGAAGACGACGACCACAGAGTTGACAATGGAGAACCAGTGGATTTGCACATCGCTCATGGTAAGATAGGTGTCCCATCGGGATGCCCATTTCACTGTACTCTCCTGCAAAACAAACAGTTAACTCAACAAATGCAACTTACGCTGTTTATAAATCCGAGATGAATAAATGCAGATTTTTTTTTTTTACATAGAAATTTACGTCCCATAGAATTTCTGGGCAGGTGCTTTGAGATAAGGGAAGTTTGCCGTATCGAAGCCAATTCAGAAGCCTGACTTGTTCTGAGATAAAAAAATACTATTTAATTGTGTTGGTCACCAATTTTATTGATCACAAATTAAAGTTTACATTTAGAAAGTGGAAGTCTTTGCAACATCCCAACACTAAAAATCAGTGTTCCAAAGGTTATAACATGCTGAAATGTAAGTCTTAGCCATCTATATAGCATGGCTGATTTTAAGGGAGTCCCCATCATCACAGGTGACATAAAATTTAGATACTCCTGTATTAACTACATAAATTATCGATGAATAAAAAAAACAAAATCGATCACTGATGATCACAACGCTAGTTATTCATTACAATGTATGCGAAAACCTGAGTTTGAACCTGAAGATATACGTTTGAGAAAGGGCAACTATGAATGTGAATGAAAATAAAGACACCATGGTCCAAGCGTGCGTTAACAAACCTTCCATTTGACGGAGTAAGAGAAGAGGACATTGTTTTCCTTGCTGGGATCAATCTCTTGAGCTTCTACACCTGATATTGCTGGACTCTGGCAATCTCCTTTGTCATCTGCATTCAGGGCTATAAGATTACAGTGGGTTAAATTTCGATTTAAAGCTTTCGTGACTGCAGGGGTTCATATTCTTGGTTATTATTTTATTATTTCCCTTCTACATGACTTTACCGAAAGAACCAAGAATATGACAGTGGGTTGTTTTTTCACTCCAGAAATTGCATCCCAAGCTTACTATGCCAATGTGTGGTCCACCATATATTAAACACAATTATCATGCACAAGAAAATATGTCAATCAATATAGAAAAATACTTTTACCTATTTTAAAACTTAAAAAACATAACCCATTACAAGCAATACATAATATTTAAAAACATATCCTCAAATAAGTGGGGTTTCTGTTGTTAACATCATGGATCCCTGTCAATTTACAGATACATGGATGATGAACAAGAAGAAGTAGCTTCATTCTTCGGAATCTCAGAATCAGATTCAGAATCTATATTTATTTATCCTGGAGAAATCCGATGACCTATGAAGCCCTTTTTCACAGATGTCCAAGTAGAGGTGTCTCAACAGCTCCGAGGCATCATGTCCGTCAGAGCATTAAACTCGCACAAAGAATGAGAACCATATTACTGAATCTATTTGCTTGAGAATTTAAATCTGGCCACCAACAACTTGCACGAAGACTAGCATAATACATTTACCCAACTCAGCATACTCTAGATCAGGTCTTGGGAAAAAAGAAAAGTTTTTAGATACATTCTGTATAAAGTATTAAGGGTTGCCATGTGTTGTTGGATTAGCAAGACATACAAGTGACGTCAGAATTTTTACCATTCTCTGGAGGCCGTTTTATGACATGAACACAATGGGTTGCCTCTTTTGAAAAGTTCAGAAATAAAGGTTTCTAATCCGCAATGCTGTGAACGTGCAGCTCAAAAGAATGCGAGCAATTAATAACCAATCCAGCAAGCACCTTACGTACCTTCATATTTGATGCTTTGTGGGATGACTTCAAATCGCACCACTTTGTATTTGGCATCCTCAGTCTCTTTGTGGTAGCTCAGAATCAGGTTCAGGTGATTGTGAAGGTACACCTTTGACAGAATCAAAAATGATCGTTTTAACAAATTGAAATAAAGAACATATAACATTTTCTCCACTGATACCATCATGTAAGTAACACAGGAAGATAGTTGGGTAATGCACAGAAATTTTAAATTAAAAAATGGTCGTAAAGTAAGACAATATCTAAGTGAAAATTATGCATATGTTTTATTGCATGAATTATACTTATACACAAGCATCAAGTTGTAATTGATGCCAGTCAATAGTTTTCTGTACCAACATTTTATGGATTAGGATTTAAAATTACGCTTGGGGTTTGAACATTGATTCAATGTCAAGACTTTAATACAGGTTCATTGCCTCCACATCTATTTTGCACACGGCCACTATTTTGCAGTGCACTACTGCAGTCTATATGAACGTATTGGCGGTAACACTGGTGCACTGAATATAAAAAGCACATTTTTCGCAATTATTTATTTTTCCACGATTTTCAACACCGGTCAGAAAATCTTGCGGGGTGCGTCAAAATCAGTTCTCGTGATGTTGAAGCAGTCGAAAAACGAATGTTATGAGCAGCTGAACACGAAGCTTCACAGTCTGTTGCCATAAAGCACCCAGCCTGATGACAATTAGTTCCGTGTTTTGACTCGTGCCCTAGACTTGGTCGGACGGTTCCTCGGTTCATTTCTAGAATAATTTCTTGGCAGACGGTGGCATCAAAATATTATTACTTGTGTCACACATTCACCCTGATGACGACCGCTTGTGTTGCGATCGAAACATCGTAGTTTTTTGTTATTTTCTTTGAACCTATCTACGTGACTTTACAGAAAGACCCAGAGACTAAGTCGTACCTTCTGTCTGTCCATGAAGCCAAGTCTGTATCCATGTTCAAACTGTTCTGGCTTTTCAGCATCACCACTTTTTTCAGCAAAAGAAAGGATTGTTGCAACAGGCAGGTTGTCCGCAATTCTGTGCATAAAAATGTAAGTTCACGTTATGTAAAGAATTCAATTCCGAGCATGGGATTTATAAGAATGATACTGCAAATCTTTGGCTGTTCACATTTGAGTGAAAACCTTGACAAATATTACATAGATAAAGAATAAAGGACACACGTGTCCCGATCCAGCATGAAAGGAAGCACAACGTGTAAACTGTATCCAAGCTGTTCAAAATAATGAAATATCCATGTTCAGGAACCAAGAGTAAACAGAAAGTAAACCACTTTGGGTAATTAAAAAAAAAGAGATACATGTTCAATTAAATGTGACATTTCACTAAATCCCCACTTTACATTGTGATTAGCTCACAAAAAACAGTAGAATACAGCACGGTATAATTAGTGCACAGGTACCTCATGTTACACGTTAATTATAAAAATAACCAAGATACACATTGACAAGGTTTAACTTACAAGTGTACATAGTATTCTTCTTTGATGCGTTCGGCAATGAGCTTGCTCTGCTCCACAGTTAATTTAACCGGAACATTAGGCATATCACACAAGACCTTGCAATCCTTCTTTTCAGTCATGCGCACTTCATAAGGCGTGTTAACAATCCGGTCTCCACGAAGCACCTCACCTACCAGAAAAACAAAGTTCTTATTAATTTATTCAAAATTCACAAAGACAGTTTGAGCTCCACAGTGTTTGATAGCTCTTGCCTAAAACACATTAGGCTACCGATCAGTGTTTAATAGACCACAAGATGTTGACAAGACTCAAATCTGTATCTAAAACTATCATGAGTTTGCCATTCGTCATGCATGCTGGAAAATCTTTCTCTGGGAGGTCATATGGTACATTAACAGTTTCCAAATTGATTTATCACACACATGGTTGAACATTTCATGAGGCAGAAAGTAACACTGCCATACACTGGTAAAGAACCCTTTCAAGTATATTTTGAAACACTTCTTCAAGATTTAATTTGACCATTAAACTATTCTTTTTATTTTACCAGGTAAGGTCGACTGAGCTATATTACTCTTATTCAGAAGTGATCTGGCCACAAATTATAGTTGAAATAAGTGGCTTATCATGTGGAAACTAATAACAGCCAAATACTCCAAGTGCATGTTTCTAAGTGTGGAGGGAAAAACCGGAGGACCCAGACAAAAATGCACTCCACCACGGGGAGAGCAAGCAAACTCCAAATATACAGGCTTCAGGGTCGAGATTGAACCCACGAGCGTCTGCATAATCAGGAAAGGCAGATAACATCTCGTCATTGCGTCGTCCCATAACCTTGGCACACAGCTGAATCCTCCAAACTAATTTGCATATACGAAAATATATTTTACAAAAATAAATGCAAATAAGAAACATAACTTTTTTTTACTTCGGCAAAGAGCGACAGAACACACAAAACTCTTCTTTTGACCAGTACGCAATCGTCATATGTATATAACATCCAGTAACTTCTCAACATTGTATATCAGAACAGGATCACACATTTAGTCTCTCATTGAGTGCAGGGCTTTATAATAAGTTAACTACAATAATAAAAAGGGACAATCATTTGATGAAACTGTATAACTTACCCAGGTTTTCAGTTTTATACAATATTTTCTGTGGCTTGCAGAAAGGAAGTGAATAGTATTCATAGGGCAACTGGGTGTGAGAACTTGTCATTTTTACAGCCTGTGAAGACAATAATTAACAACTTGCTCAAGTACAGACGCCGCCGCATGTTTACCATCAAAACATCCTGCAATTATCATTCTAATTTTAAAGCACAATTTAGTTTTCATTAAAATACATTGTACTGTATTGACGCTATATACCTCTTCAGGTACTGGTTTGCTGCCAGAGGAATTCAAACGTAGATAAGTACTGATGGTACGAAATAACAAATTACATCTTATTGTATGTCAAATGATACTCAGCACTATCTGGCCAGGTTGACTAGTAGTGCTTTGAGTGCTTGAGACTCAGCTTATCAGTACCCCTAGAATTGATAACATGAATACCAATTTGTAAGCAAATTAACAGTGGTTGTTCTATGGAGAGACTGGTACCCATCATGGTAATGTGGATTTTTTTTTATCATCACTAGCTCAGAACCAGCAATAGAGATGAGTGAGACCCCATTGCTTGTTCGAGTGGGACACTGCGTTTTGACTTTGATTTCAATTCATTACAAGTAATTTGTGCAATAACACTATCTTTCCTATGGATCTAGTTTCAAGGCTTTTCCTTGAAGATGGCAGCATAATAGAATGTTACAACATTGAAAGTAGGACCACTGTACAAGATAATGTAAGTAATTTCAAACACAGACATTGACCAATAGTTGGACACATTTATAAAGAATTGGAAGTGGGTATTGATAATACATGAAAACATCATTGTACAGAAAAGTTTCTTTAATGTAACAAAGAAATATTTCATGAACGACAGGGCGCTCACTGCCGTGAAATGCCAGCTCAGACCTGTGTTGACTTTAGTATCCTGTAGCTTTTAACAATGAATAGTGCCACGTGTACGTCTGTTTAATCCAATATATTTACCTTTATTTCCACATACTGGTTCTTGGCATAATCCATTGGTGCGACTCCAGGTACATAGAAGGTGCTTGCTCCATTTATTAAGAGCGCTATCACAAGCTGCCACAAACACATTTTCTGAAAGCCAATAAACAACGAGTTAAGCACAAGAAAAATGACATTGCAGTCGAGAACCGGACAATATTTAACAAAATCATTTATATTTTTTCACTTCAATAGGATTCCCTAAATATGACTACAATTCGTGGAGTTAATTGGAGATAGTGGTCTGCACAAGGCCGAGAACGTTTGTACACCTAGTATATACATCTTGATGCGTTGTTTAATCCATTTACTTTTCGGCCTGGCCTAATATTTCTGTAGAGATGGGGTTTTCTCGTCATTGACGCATGAGAATGACGGTACATGACTGGAGTAACGATGCGACGCAGCTGCTGCCAACACGTCAACTGAGAAACTCCCTCGCCCTGCTCCCAGTAACCACGTGCGTTCCTTTCCATTCCTTGCTCCCCTTCGCTGGAACATTCACTGCCACGCAAAACAATCATCCTCGCTAACATGCTTTCTGTTCTTCCCTTAAAACAACCCCCCAATCTCACCTCCCTTATTAACCATCCTGCTACTCCTTGCCCAAGCCCTGCATCTGTAACTTGGCCGTACCGCAAACCCTCCTCCCTTAACCACTCCCAACTGTCCTCCTGACACCAAAAACGAAACTATTTTTTTTATTTTACCAGGTAAGGGCCACTGAACTATATAGCTCTGTTTCAGAAGCGACCTGGCCCGAAAATGGTAGCTCAGCGAAGTGCCTTATCACGTGGAAATGTATTAGCAACCAAATACTCTTAAACGTACGATGTTCATTCTAAATGCGGAGGGGAAAACTGGAGGACCCGGAGAATAAACCCCACACGACCACGGGGAGAGATAAAACCGCAGACTCCAAATATACAGCAGGAGCCGGGGGCGGAATCTAAACCACGACCTTCATAGCTAACACGACTTTTAATAACTTCACTTTTGAGCATGCACACTTCTCAAATTGTTATAAAGCGCACTGGAATAAGGTGCTATATACGTCTACGTACACATTTTGATTTAAAGCTTTCGTGACTGCAGGGATTCACATTCTTGGTTATTTTCGGTAAAGTCACGTAGAAGGGGAAACAATAAAATAATAAAAAATATATAAAACAATAAAAATTCTCACGACGTTTCGACTGCTTGTGTTGCAGTCGAAACGTCGTGAGAATTTTTATTGTTTTATATATTTTTTATTATTTTATTGTTGCCCCTTCTACGTGACTTTACCGAAAATAACCAAGAATACGTCTACGTACGTTAAGACAATTCGTGTTAGTTTTATACAATTATAATTAACACAACTCAACCACAGGCAACGGCATCACGTACACTATCCATCGTTTCGTGCCATCACACGAAGTCCCGAGGTGGAATGGGCTGTTGAGATGGCGAGATTTGAAGAGAACACAACAGCAACGTTTTACGATCATCCATCCACAGTCGGTGACAGGGATGGACAGAGAACGTAATCCGTGTGTCACCAACCCCACAATGCTGCAGTCATCTCGGGGTTTACACTGTGGCACGTATGACACGTGGCAAGGAGGGGCCCGAAACATCCGATGTTCGGGTTACACAGAACACGGGATTATTTTATTTGGACAACGTACTTCTAACTAACTTACCTGCCAATAACACCATCCGAAACCCACCGCCCGCGTTTAAATACCGTACCGGACAACAGCTTTTCCGTCAATTTTGCACGACGGGACGCGAAACCCATTTTCTGGGCCTGAGCGGGGGACTACATACATATTGTGAACGCGGTACGACGTGTTTGAGCAGAGTCATGATTACGATCACATGCGGCCCGTAGTCAACTATTATTCCACGGGGTGAGCAAGCCTCCTCCTCCTCCGCACGTTGTTCACCAGACTGAACCCCGTGGCAGTGCGCGCGAGGCATAGCGGGGAGGTTGGGAAGAACCGGCAACGAATCCAAACATCGCTCGCGACCGATGTTTAGTCGTGGCCGGGAATCGCAACTAAGGTTCATCGCATTGCGACAACTCAACCCAACTTAAGTCACAAACCACCACCACCCCTACCTCCTCCTCCTCCTTTGTAGACGCACGAAAAATGCGAACTATGGCGCAAGTGACGAACGCTATCCCGACCGCACACTCAATAAACGTGGACTAATGTCGTAGTGGGGGGTGGTGGTGGTGGCTTGTCCCGGGACGGTGGGACATTGTACGAGGCGGCGTTGTAAGACGAGGCTGGCTAGCAAGCAGCCGGGGTCGTTGGGCGGCAGTGGGAAGTTTGACGCGGAAGTGCCGGCGGTGACATTTCACTGCGAGCGCCGGGGCAGCAAAGCGACCGTGAACGGGGGACGCCAGACCAGCGTCGCTCTCTACCATCAAAGACAAAGATACCTCCCCCCCCACTCCACCCCGTGTAGCCTGTAACACAGACTGTTGGGGCAAGTGCTGTTAGCGAGCACCTATGAAGGCCGGCACTGTGGCACACGAGCGGGGTTGAGTGGCCGGCACCACGTCCGGCCGCCTTTGTCTCCGCTAGTGGCGATGTTTACACACCGCACCAGGTACTCATTTGAGGCCGAGTCGAACTAGTGGAGGCGCGGGACCGGTTCAGACAATCGTCACTGGCGTTGACTGTGAGCGGTAATCGAACCCCCGGGGTCGCCCGGTTCGTAGCGCAGTGCGCTAACCGCTGCGCCACCGCTCATCACCACCACCACCACCACACGCCTGGCTATTACTCACAATCGTATCCTGCATCGCGCCGACAGGAACGCGCCTCGCTCAACCTCTCGAAGCCAAAAAACAAACCCGGGGTGGGCCGCGAACGCGACCGCCGGCCGCTTGCCGCTGCTCTTCAGCGACTGCCGCTGCCCGAGGCCTAGGCACGAAACTTCCACTTCACATAGGCGACGGGCGGGCTAAAAAGCGCGCCGCTCATTGGCCCAGCGCCGATCACGCGCCGCCGCCCGCCAATGGGGAGGCGGCTCTCGCAGGCGGCGATCGAAGTGTGGCCTCGCGCCATTGGGTGCCGCGCCGATCCGCGCTGGCAAGGCGCAGGGCGCGGAGGCGGCACGGGCGGGCGAGGCGACGGTCCGGGCGACGGGGAGACGCCGCCGACGAAGGGGACAGGGTGGGTTGGGGCGGCAGAGCCGGGAAGGAGCGCGGGGAGGCGCGGCCGCGCGGTGAAAGCGAGAAGCGACGCAAGGAGGGAGGACGACGGAGAAGTTCGCTCACCTGCGCGGGCGCCATGTCGCGCGACGTGTGCCGCGTGACGTCACTGTCAGCTGTCAACGCCCCCCACCCCCCCGCTGACCCCCCCACCCCCCCCGTGACCCCCCCCGACACCCGCCCCCGTGACCCCCCCCCTCGACACCCGCCCCCCTGACCCCCCCCCCGTGACCCCCCCCGACACCCGCCCCCCCCCGACACTTGATTCCTTGAACAAGGTTTATATTTGATGTTTAAACATCTTAACAGCTCAATTTTGATTTGCAGCTTTCGTGACTGTAGGGATTCATATTCCTAGTCCTTTCGGTAAAGTCACCACGTAGAAGGGAAACAATAAAATAATAAAAATATAAAACAATAAAATTATTTTATTGTTTCCCTTCTACGTGACTTTACGGAAAGAACCAAGAATATCTTAACAGCTGCTTTATTGCAAGAAAAGGTAAACAAAAACCTATTATTGTTTCACACTTGTGATACTGGCGAAAAGGTCCCATTTTGTAATTAAACTAGTTAGAAACAATCTAGGAGACGGCATTGGAGCAAGATCAACTCTTTCTACATTAGCTGTTAGCAGCAGGCTACTCTGGCGCATGGACAAAGATCGGAAATTGGTACCATGCAAGGTGGCGGCTAGTGACCAATTTATATGGCTTTAACGTGGAGTAATGTGATTAATATATTAATTTGATTTCTGATTTAATTAACTTTTGATGGACGTACAACAAATCAACTCCACTGAACTCGTGTGACCCTTAAGGCAGCCTGGCATGGATGTACTGGCCCAGCTCCAGTTCCTCTCGGCAGGGCTGTTGTGTGGGCCACTGAGTGGTCGGTCATACCCCGCTCTAAGTCTACCCATTTTACATCGTTTCACAAATACGTCGTCACTTCATTAATACCACTCCCCGATTTGCATCGCCTCAACCCACACTCAAGTCGCTGACCGTCTCAGTTCTCGTATTTGTGGCCTCGACCTATCCTGTACACGAACTACTCTACATCGCGCATAAAGAAATATTTGCACGCAGTATTTTTGGGATCTTTCAGTGTACTGTATCTTATTGTTGTACCATGTGTAGTGGGTTCTAAACAGGCGTACACCGAGTCTTGGGAGGCAACATAATTATTTACTAGCACCACTCGGACCAGCTAACATAACAGATAACTGCACAAGGCTCCCAAGTTAACCGTGTACATCTCGGGTTAACTACATAGGGTGGTAGCCACCACTCCTAACCACCTAACCACTGGAACAGGATCACTATATGATGGGACCAGGACAGCTAACACGCTGCCTGGTCCTCGTGCGCGGAGATTGAAGAACGAGGAACTAAGAAGGCGGCTTCTTTCCCGGGTCGAACAGCCCAGCTCCCACTTGGGACCAGGCTCCGCCCCTGGCCACGCCCCCTTCTAGATCCTTCGTGGAGGCTCTCGGTCCCTACCACGTGGCCCTCTCACCCCCTTCTGGGGGTCCCCGTGCCCCCTCGTCCGGTCACGTACTCTCGCGGGTTCACGCAGGCTGTCATGTCCCGACCCAACCTCCGTGACACCCGGACTCTGCCCTCTCGTGAGCCTCTTAATGCAGTACACTGGTGCCATAAAACTGCACCCCACGCACAGTACCACTCGGTACTGTCGCAACACATGTATAATGTGTTAAAGATTACCGATGCACACGAGTGTTGAGGTCAGTATTAGTTAACTTTTCAAAATAAATTATGTAAGGTGGGTATGTCTAGGATAAAGATGCGTGCTGCAACACAGCTTCACCATAGCCTCCGTTGTAAGTCATGGCGTGCAGAGATTTGCTTTTAAATGTCGCAACGTTCAGGAACGCATCCCCGATGCAAGTCGGGGTTATTACTAAAAACCACCCCAGAACCTCCAAGCGCTGCTCCACGTGGAGACATCCATGCAGCTGTGCATCTTCCTGTTAAGCCTAAGACTGGTGTGACATCCAATGCAGTAGACAGCTTCAAGCACAAGGCTCAAACACCAGTCTTCCAGCTAGATATGTAATTCACAAGCTCAGAAAATTAAGCCTTGGCACTTTCCATATACTCCCACACACAGCTATGCTTGGTTACGTCGACTTTTCACGTGGGGGTATAAGTGAATTGTGCTTCTGGCTATATCCAATGTAATTTCGCGAGGGCATGTGTAATTGAAAGGTTTTCCATATACTGTACATGCTCCACTTCTTTAGACTGTCATGCAGACTATAACTTGTCACTCCACCATCATTGATAAGATTTGCCATTTCAATTCATTCACTGGATATGCATCTTCAGACAGTTGTTTAGATGCCTAATCTCAGGATCCTACCACCATGCACAGGAAAAGACCTTGCGTGCATTCATATGCATACAACCATTACTGCCACACTGCATAGTCCAACATGGTCTTGGATAATTTCACTCGAAGGAAACTAGTATGAGCAACGCTGATATTAAAAGTTTATTCCACAAAAGCCACAACCTGCCTTCAGGTGTATATACCGTTTACTGGAATTACTGCAAGTGTAGTTTACATTTTCACAATAAAGTTTTGCGTGGGACTACAAATGCTTAAGTTTGCTCCCAATGACAAAAAAACACAAAACTAAGAAAAATCCACTTTCAACATTTATTGAAGTGTTGAGCAGCTGACATGAGGAAACTCGGACATCTTGCTGCAATGTTTTGAAACAATGGTGTTAACCTAAAGTGGTGGGAGGGGGAAATAAGATTATCTTCAAATCAGAAAACTTTAAATGCAACTGTCGTTAAATACTAAACATGACCTACTTAAAACAGTTTATATTACATATTCAATTAAAATGTTGCGTAATAGTATTAGCATTTGAATAGATAATTAACATCAGTACATTATAACAATTATGTACACACTGCATGTTTATTAATTTCCAGTACATTTAAAACACATTGTTGCAGAGTATGGTATTTTGGCAAGCTCACCCTTCTACAGCTGCATCTCGGGGAACTCGAAGTTGACATCTTTGCCCGTGAGTTTCTTGTACACAGCAGAGAACGTTTCAACCTGTACAAGCAAAACAATTAGATGATCGCTAAAACGTGCATTGATGAGAATATCATATTCGGAACACTTCCCCACTTCCTCAACAAAAGCAACAGTATACAATGTTATTATGCAGGTGGTAAAATAAATGTACAGCTACGCTTAAAGCGTTTACTCAGCACATGCACTCAATATAACTACACAGTTTAAAAATTATTTTATCTTAGTAAATTTTAATATCTAAATGAAAGGTTTCTATTTTGGGGCATCTTGTTACAAGTTTATATTTGGTTAAGTTCAGTCCATTAAACATTTAAAAAAATCACTTGGTTAACACCTCACCTTGTGTTCCACATTGTTTTGCTGAGATTTGTCCAGATGAACCTTAATAAGTCGGCTGGCATCCATCTTCACGCGAATTCGCTTTCCCACAATCTCACTTGGGAACACCAGATCCTCCAGAATGGCATCATGCACGGCAGTCAGTGTGCGGCTGCAAAACAGGAAAATAAGTGTTTCATGACTGGCTTCTAAACTGGGAGAAAGAATGAACAGGAATGACAATAAGCAGGAAGGCATCACAGTGGATAATCTCAGGTAAGAGGCATGTTGCAGCTGAGTGTAGAGATCAAGGGAAGAAAATAATCCAGGTGGGCAGTGGAGGTTCAGATGCAATATAAATGTAAGTATGACAAGGTTTTAAAATAAACCTAGGTAAATTTGAGCTAATATACAGGTGAACTGCGAGTCAGATGAAATCCTGATCTGTCATTTCTCACAGCCAGATTGGTCAAGGAGTTTAAGAACAGCATGCTGCAATCAAGGCAAGGGCAGTCTATGGAGAGCAGTTTCAAATCCAGGGAACCCAGTCGTAGGGGAAGGAAAACTGGGTAAGATGTTTGTAGGTGCATTATCAATGATTTGTTAATGGGTGAGAGAGCTCGGTACAAGGTACTGAAGAGATGATTTAGATATTTTGGGACAGGTAAGGAGTAATTTTTACGACCTGTATAGATTTAAAAATGGCATTGACTTCCAGGCTCTGGTAATTATACCCTAACAATTTAATCCTTTGGGTAAGGAGATAAGCATCAGCAAGATAAAACCTTCAGGAAATAAAAAGTAATAAGAATAATTTACATAAGGTAGGTTCCCAATGAACCATGTATGGAAAGCAGGAAATAAATAGAACCATGGTGAATGGCCAGAACTAGGGGCCAGTTTAAAAAGAGAGGAGTTTACAAGACTTAAAATATAGCAAACGATTCTGATTGTCTTATTAGCAGAGGCAAAGCTTTTCAAAGCTTGGAAGCTGCACTGGCAAATGCCCGATCACCCCAGGAAATCAGCCTTGACCTCAAGAGTACTTAGAAGGCGATCCGAAGATCCCAGTGACTCGCTAGTGTATAAAGATGATCACAGATCCTGTAAATATTGCAGGGCTTGTAGGTTAGCAGCAGGATCAGCAAGTGGGAGAAGCAGGCAAAGGAGAAGACATGAAAAAAGGTAGGGTTTAAATCCGATTATAGCACCATCAATGCAATCTCAACCATTTCATATTTTATCTTTTTATTAACCGTAAAAATGTTGATACAAGCAACCAAGTAACCTTATCATTTAATCATAGAACATGTAATCCTACCATGTGCAAAACGGCAATAGCTGCAT